TCCAAATCAGAGCCAAGAAGAACATGCGATTCATCATTGCCCCCATCATCTCCTGTGTCTCCAGCGTCTACCTCCACACCTCCCCCTGCTGGAGCACGGGACCAGTGCCCAGCACCTTCGTCGAAAACCACATCGCGGGCAGAGAAGAGGCGGACGCCTCGAGGCATCCCACATCTGGTAGCCAGCTGTTCCGTTATAGCCGACCATCACTGTCTTGACAGATCGGGCATTCAACTTCCCGCCGGCCTCGGAGATAGGCACAATCTTCGCATAGGCGACTGATCCAAAGACTCGCAGGTGGGCGATGTCCGGCTTAACACCGTGGTAGACTTCCCATGGTGTCTTTCCCCCAGCACGTCGCTTCGGATGGAACCACTGCACATACGCCGCGGTCTCTACCGCCTTGGGCCAAAGGGACTTGGGGAGCCCTGAGTCCGCCAGGAGAGAACGAGCGAGAGATATGGAGGTGCGTATTCCGCGCTCAGCGACCCCGTTCTGAGCTGATGAATGCGGTGTAGTCACCTCCAGTATTATCCCTTCAGACGCAAGGTACGAGTCCCACAACTCGTTAATCCATTCGCGTCCTCCATCAACTCGCACTTTCTTGACTTTCTTCCCAGTCTGTGTCTCGATTTCGGCTTTCACGCGCTTGAAGGCTTCAAGCGAGGACGGTGCAGTCTTGTCTTTCAAGAAGAAAGCCCATGGCCCCGCCGCAGAAGCCGTCGACGGCATGGAACACCCATCGAAAGCCGCCTAATCCCACGAGTTGTGCTGGACCCCAGAGGTCGATATACACCCGTTCACCAATCTCCTTTTCCGGCTCGTGGACACCGTCAAAAGGCCTCCGCGTCTGCTTCCCAGCCAGACAGTCTTCACATAAGCCGTGAGTTTCTCCTCCAAGAACGCTCAGGCCGTTGACATGTCCGTTTGACAGCAGCGTGTTCATCCTGGTTTCGCCGATGTGAGCAAGACGTCGGTGCCACGTCTCTCTGCTCGCTGGTGAGGCCCTTGAGCTCGCCACCGCTGCAGTCACACCGGCATCGTCAAAATCCAGCCGGTACATGCCCCCGACCAACCTCCCTTCCATGAACGGCTCCCCCCCTGGAGTCTTGAAGACAGCGCGTCCTTTACGGAACTCGACCCCGAAGTCCTTTTCGTCGAGACGTGATATGGATATGAGGTTGTATATGATGTCTGGGGTGTGAAGAGCATGGAGCAATATCTCTTTCTGGCGCCCATTAAACTGGTAAGTCTTTCCGAACAGTACCGCTCCCAAGGATTTTGAACTTCGACCCTTCAGCAGCATTCCCCTCGCTTTCAATGGCTTGATAATCGACGAAATCTGCCCTGCGCCAGAAGCAGTGATCTGTCGCAGCGGAGTCCGCGACCACGACATATGGCTTGTGTGTCTCCACAGCCAGCACGCTGACGCCTGGGCTTGCCAGTTCAGCAGCTCGGTGTTGCGCGTACCACGGCGATATTGAAGTCCGATCTTGGCGAGACAATCCACTCGGAGGGGAAGGTCGTGTCCTTGTCGAGGAGATTATCCATAACGACATGCTCATTATCTGAGACTCGATAGATTATGAACCGTGGCTCGGTTTGGATGGTCTCGTCACCAGGATAAGGTTGGTGGGCTTGGAGGATTGATGCTGCTGCATGTTCTAGCTCGGTATGTGCCTGGTATGTCCCCAGCTCGTCGATTGGGTCGAATATTGACTCTTCCTCATCAGACTCGAACTCGGAGGGATAGGTGGATTCGATATCAGTGTCGATTATCGAGTACGACGCGTCGGAGACGGGGTATTGGGCCGACGTTCCTGTGGCTGAGTTTCGAGGAACGGTCACGTGCACCGTCGCGTCCACCGCTTCATGCCAATTCATCAAGGATTCTGGGGATGCGAGCACTCTTTCCCCGTCAAAGTCGACCGCTTGAGTCCCATCTGAGTCGTAGACACTCACGGTGGCTGCAGGTACTGTCCAGTCGGCGATATTGCTTTCACAACCTAACGTGTCGACCATGAAGGCATAGGTGTCGACTGCGTTAGCAGATGGAGTCGTGTTTCCGGGCTTCTTCCCCTTCCACCATGTTGGCCACTGGCCCTCCTTGCCTCCGCCCGGCCAAAAACAGTCCCCAATCAGGTGTCCTCGCTTTCCCTCTACGCCACATCGGGGATTGACACAGATTAAGTTCTTCCGAGCAGCTCGACGTGCCGCCGCCGGGGATGACGTGTTAGTTGCCAAAACTTGTGCGGAGGACTGTGTGTTTGCAAGAACACGGTTGTTTATGCGTTCCCGAATGCATGATGATCAGGCTGATGACTTCTGCAGATGTTTGAAGGGGATATAACTGGGGAACGACGCTATCCCATTCTTCACCCAAGGACCCGATGAAGATGATGCGGAATGCTTCGTCGGTGACATTGGCTCCCTGGTCGTTTGCGTTGCGCCAGAGGACACGCATTCTGGAGATATGCTCTTGGATAGGCGTACCAGGTTGGAGGAAGTGCGATACGAGTTCGCGGTTCGCCTGAATCAATGCCATCGAGTTGATGCGCTTATGGTTGTCGGTCAACGACTTCCACGCCTCGGCAGCCGTGCCGTCTGTCTTCATGCCAAGGCCAATGGGGTCTTTAACATTCAAAATAAGAAGTGCCTTCGCCATCGCATCTCGGTGAACCCATTCATCTAAGCTGGGGTTGGTCGAGTATATGTTAGTGGGATCGGGGGGAAGAGGGACGCTTGCTGGACTCGTCGTGGTCGCTGTCGTTGCAGGCAAGATAGGGGCTGGTGTTGGTCGGGCAATGCTGCCTAGTATGTACCCGCGCAGTCCGCGCGCATCAGCGACGGCAATAAACTTGGTTTCAAATCCAATGAAGCCAGTGCCGTCGAACTTCTCCCCGTCTGGGAGAATGGTCAAGGGGTTCGAATTGGTGCTCATTCTGAGCGTCAGGGGTCGCCAGTAAGTCGAGCGATTCGGTATGCGTCTTCGCGGTTAGCGCGGTTAGTCTTTGAGTCGTAGGAGTGGGATATAGTGTGCTTGGAGTACTTCGTTGTTCTATTAGTTATGCGCGGGGCCCATAACCTGTAGACAGATGTACTCAGTCGGGCACGAAGAGAGAACGACTGATTTATAGTGTACCTGTAGACAGATGTACTAAAATAGTATGTAAGAATGAGAAGTAGAGTAAAGTACTGCGGGGCATACCTCAGTCGGGCACGAAGAGAGAACGACTGAGGTATACCCCTACTGTAGTCAGGTATAAGTACTCGATCGGAGAAATGATATGGTAGAGAAGGAGAGAGAGGGGGATTAACGGTGTCGATACGCGCCCAGACGGGCGCGCCGGCTATATGGCCAGCCGTGCCTTATCTCAACAACAGAAGAATTGCTCGCTTCGCTCGCAATGAAGCAGCGACCGGATTCCATGAGCAGGTCCTGCGCCATTGTACACAGTTGGGTACACATTTGGTTTTCGAGGGTGTGAGGCATCATAAAAGACCCCCCGCAGTTGCTGGCATCCAGTGATATGGTTTATGCTGATAATGTCAGCCTCCCAGTCTGATTTGTCGTTCAGAAACACAACCTGTGACTTGAAACTTCCACAATGAAGTTCCATTTGTCGAGACCAGTCGTATTATGCGTGTCCAGCAGAGCCGCCCCATACTTCAGTTAAGTAGTTATGAATCAAATGCAACAATATCAATGTCGGTGGCACGTACGAATGGCGCTTGGACAACCCCCTTGTCTGGACTCTGGTCAACATTTTGCCATCGGTCTAGTTGGAAACGAAGCATTTTGCGCGCTTCTATGAGAGATTTCTTTGCGTTGAGTGTCATAGCCCGGATTCGGGCTGGCCGTTCACTCGTTGCATGTACTCTTCCAGGAACTCCTCTGGAGGAAGAACATCGCGGAGATCGATTGTGTTGTATCGGGTCGTCTGAGACCGTAGGTGTGGGTGGAGGAAAGGAACAACTGTGTCAGTCACAGAGTGCTTTGGCCAAATTTCCAAGAAAGCCGTCACGGTCGTGGGTGCTTAGGAAATTTAGTTGCGGTTGGAACGAGAAGTTCCGGCAAGTTTGACAGGAGTATTGACGGCGAATAGAGTGTCAGTCTTCGGAGTGAATACTTGTCGCTAACTTGGATTGGAATCGACTTGGAGAGCCTACATATGATCTTCTTTCAGAAAACTTGCGCCTACTAGTAGCACCATGCAGTGCGTGGTAGTTAAGGAGAACTGAGCCAGTAGCGGTTGCGTCCGAGTCAGTCTTGTTGGTTAACATGTTCAAGTTGTCATGCTTATAGAGTTGAGGAGAAGTGAGCTTCGGGCTCTGATACCGTAATACGACAACTTGAAGAGGCTCGGATTCAACTTGAAGATGCCCGCAAATCCGTAGCTTGAAGAAGACGAAGTGGTGGTGTAACTTAGAGCAAAAGTGACCTTGATTGAGGCCAGCCTCCGCCAGAACGCATTTGGTATTTGTCAAAGATAGAGCCGGTCAAAATCCTTTCGTCACAACGTGACTCTCTTGTCAAGAAACCTCATGTCGACCTCAGAACCACCTGCAAAGCGGCAAAGAATGAACGAGGACGATCACCCGCTCATAACAGTTACTGGTTGGAGGACGGAAATGTTATCTTGCAAGTTCAACAAACCCAATTCCGCCTGAGCAAATCGATCCTCTCCATGTACTCGCCCATCTTTCGCGACCTGTTTACTCTTCCGCTGCCTCAAGACGAGCTGTTACTTGAAGACTGTCCGGTTGTGGTTCTTCCCGGAGACGATAGGGGCTAGACGAAATGGCCGCGACAGCCGCGACAGGGCCGCGACAGGGCCGCGACAGGGCCGCTGCAGGGCCGCGACACAGCCGCGACATGGCCGCAGCATGGCCGCAGCCTCCTGTCACGCTGCCGCCTGCGCTGCAACTTTGGCCCGGGGCGGTTTATAGTTTTGTATACTACCAATATTTGACCAATATAATCATTTATCGCAGAGAATCTACTTCAGGTATTGTGCATACTGGTGGAATGGGCCGTTTTCCTCAAATTGTGTAGGAAACGCAGCCGCATATTCATATGCTGTCATTCTCTTCCCCCCGACTAGCATGTCCCAATCCATGGGATCTCGCTTCTTGCGCCCGCGGCGTCCGCTCTTTGCTGCTGCAGTTGTGTTCGCCGATGGCGCCGGAGGAGCAGTCGGTGCTGCATCCGGACCCGTGGCCCGGGCCTGACGGCGACGCTTCTGTGGAGGCTATAGTCGCCGTGAGCAGTTGGCCATGGGTACAGGAAAGCCATACCTCGTTATCGACCGCTTCCGAACTATCCGCGCGTCTGCGGGTTGCGTCACCAGGCTTCATCTTTGCACCTGTGCCAGAATCCATGTCGGCGTGGGCCGGTGGTAGGTCAAACCTTGCTCGCTTCTTAGCCAAATTGTTGTGTCCTTCGATATCGGGCAGGTCCGACTCACGTAAGACAAGGAGACCATTGTAAACCAGCGGAGTTGAAGAGCGATCGGCCGTGATAAGCCCACGGTAGACCAAACTCCGGTCGAAGAATACCACCTCAGTGGATTGCGTCCACCGCACTTGGGACAAGACAGCGTCGTAAGAGCCAATTGACATATTCTTCATTTCACTGATTGCACGCCGCAGCCGTTTGAAGTCCCAATCCTCGTAGAGGCCGCCAGATCGAAGTTCAAGATAGGTGTTGCCGCTAAGATCCCAGTCTTCTCCTAGGCTGTGTTGGATGCAGAGCGAAATCCAGAGCGTGACGGCCATTGTCAATGCGCGTTCCCACGAGCCAGAAACCTGACCAGCTTGTCGTTGCCGAGCAAGAATATGGATGGGGTCATCGAAGGTTGCCCAAAGTCCCGGATCAAGGCCAGAGGAAACGATGCCGTGCCGCTCGAGCCAGCGCTCATCGAGGTCAATGCCATCCGGCATATTAGCGTGGTCTTCATCAAAATCCAAAGCTACTGGATGGGATGGCGGCTGGGTGTTGACTATGTCGACAATCTGAGGAGTAGCCAGCGCGCATACCAGAGAAAGAGCATGGTTGAGGGTGTCCTTATCGGCTTGCGCTGGTTTAAGGGTCAACGGGACCCTTAAACGAGCAATCTGTGGTCGCTGTTAGTGGGCTCAAAACATGTATTGAAACTTACCTGAGCAATTTCAAGTGCAGCTGTCATATGCACATCATCGTATGGCCGATAAAAGCTCTCTTTTGGTGGATCACCTCCGTCAACCCACTCTACTTGTGGCAGCCAGCGCCACAGGTATTCCATCTGGTATCGATTGATGTCGAATCCGAGGCATTCCGCTGCGGCCCACAGTGTTTCAGCGGGAGGAGTAGTCAGATTTTGGCGTTGCAACCGAACTTGGCCAGGGCTAGAAGATGAACATAAGCGAATATTAAATGAGGTGCAGGCACACATACACAACAAACGCAGCAGGGCGGCTCTCCGCGCATACATGGCACAGCAATTTGAACTGCGCTTGCGTCCAGTCGGTGATTATTGATGATAAGCACCGCCGGTGTGACCAATTTTGGCACACTTCACACTGAATAAGGCGACGCGGAGCGTCTGACGGCTCCTCGTCTGCATCGGAGCCGCATATGCAGGAGATTTGGCCCCATGCCTCGTCAATTTCATCCCGGCCCAACCGAGAGTCGGCTTCATCGGAGCTCGAGGCCGGCGCCGGCTCATCGTCGGGCTGTACGGAGTATGCTTCTGATTCTGGATCGGATGGCGCCGAGAGCTCCTCCTCGTCCTCCGAGGCATCACCCCTTGATTGTTTTTTCGACTTTCGCGGCTTTGAAGGGGGCAACTCGGATTGTTGTGGGTTTTCGGTGTATTCGCTGTATCGCACAAGTTGACGTCCTTGATGCCAAACCCGTTCAGTGTTGTCTAAGCGAAGATGGTCCGATTGCGGGAATCCTGCTTTGATGAATGTCTCCGACTCTGGGTCAAACGTACAGTGCAGCCCATTCGTCCACTTCTTTTTGCGCTCGGCACGGAACAGCCGCTGAGCCGGTTCGCCGCCGACCAGGCGATAAACCAATCCGGAAATTTCATAATTTGGCGGGATTCCTTTCAGCTTCGAGAACGCGCCAGTCATATGACGCTGGACTGAGCCACTAACTTGTATTGCCCGTCCTCCGTTCTTCATTCCGTCGTAGTCAAAGATCCGGCCATTTGGAGATAAGTAGCGAGTCATGAAGTGGGAGCCGTTGGTGTAAATGTGCGATATGAGTTCATATCTAACCCCCGCGGAGCTAAGTTTGGATTGTTTGGTGTCCGGAAAGGGGTGCAATTCGGCCGGAATATGCCAATCGTATTGATCCGGCTCCACGACCTCGATGACGAAGATGAGTGGAATCGACAGGACATAGGAATGGGATATGGTGATGCCACCACAGAGGTACTCTCCATCGACAGAGCGCCAACACTTGCCATCCTCCCAGGAGCCTGAATTGAGGAAGCCCTGGTTAAACCATTTGGTTATTTTGCCGTTGAATTGCTCAAATTGGTGGTTGAGCAGCTGAATTTCATTTCTGGCTGCAGGTGTGTCAACGAGCCAGTGTGTTTGGGCATGAGTAGGGGAATCAGGGTCACCGTAACACATCCGCAACAAAACAGCTTGGACGCGAAATAAATTAATGGCCCGGGCAAGCGGTGCCGACTCAGCGTTATCAGCTTTCATTGCGACATGATGTGTTGTGGCTTCCCAAAGCCATCCCTAGTGTCCGGTCAGATTTCACGCATGATTTGTGAAAAGTGGTACATACAAATGGCGTATACCATTGCTCCTCAGATGTTAACCCAATGATAATTGGAGATAATACCATCTGTCGGCGAAAGTCATTTCGAGCACTGGCCAGCTCCGGCGATGTCAGCTGATCATTACCAGCTTCTGATACATGCCGTCGAAGAACACGCAGCAGCCAGTTCAGCGGTTGGTTATCGGGAAGTGAAGCTAGATGCTTTTCGAGTGCAGTAGAGTCACGTGCAGCAACAGCGAACAGCGCCGTAAGGCCAGAGTCCAACCAACAAGAGTTGTTAAACCAGGGATAGGATAGCTGATAGGTCAGCTTTGAGTTTGATACTGGTGCTGGCTGGCGATGAGATGATGCATGCAGTGTCTCGGGCACCAGGTCAGCAGCACGATCGGGAGGACGGGCATCCGCACGCTCAGCTGCCGTGGAAACATGGCCTCGAGAGTGATGGGTACGCCCGTAAATATTTGATGTTGCCTTCCAATGTCTGGGGTCACTTCCGTAGTAGATTTTGCCGCCATCTGGGAGAAGATAAGATAATCAGTCTCAGATTTAACTCAGAAACCAACGCTTCGCATGCAGATACTTCTCTTCCAACAACTCTGCCGCCCGCACCAGACCCTCCAGCCCCTCAAACATATTGTTTCCTCTCTTGATCATACTGTAAAGTCGGTGATGCATTGCCTCCTCTGCATTTGTTGTCGCTGGCAAGTCAAAGAAGAGACTTGTATCCATTGCCAGCTCGGAGCGGAACAGCATGGATGCATGCTCTGGACGCATCCACCACAATAGCCAGGGCTTGACTCGGGGGAAATCTTCGATAATCTCGGCGGCCTTCTGACGGAAAATGTTCCCTGTCGCACAGCTCAGCAACTCGTGAACACGGTTCTGGAAGTGCGGGCGCTGAGTTGGCGTAATGACATGGCTGATTTTGCTGACTCGTTCAACTTGCTCTCGGAAATGTCGCTCGCAGCCCTTGACAAGACCTTGTGCATCTTGCCGGAGTTCTGTCTGAGTTCGGTTGTTGTCTGGTTGCCGAAAGAGAAACTCGACAAGTGCATCGAGTAATCCATTGCGCTCCGCCTCGCTGAAGTCCAGGACCTGGTTAACACAAAATCAGACAAAGTGGCAGCCACATGGAAATCTCACGTTGGCAATCAAATAAGAAGGAATAGGTTTTCCGGGATGTCGAAGCCTATACTCCTCCTCGATACCCTTCAAAAGTTGACGAAAGTGGAGCAAGTAATGCTTGCTCGTTGCACCGTGACTAAACGTCATTACCAAGGGCACATAAGACTTGAGAAACTCCGGCTCATATGCCGAGCTGACAATAAGATAGTTCTTATCGCCCTTGAAGTAGTTGTGAGCGGCGTCCGAGACAACACCATTTAGTGCATCCTCTTCGATATGACCTTTGACTGAGCGGCGACGCATGAAGGGGGATTGGAGAACAACAACCTTGAAATCTCGGTTGTAATGCACATTGATTGTCCAACTTGGGTGCGCTGCGCGGAATTTGGCCATCTCGGGTTCGAAGTGCTTATCTTGTGTCTTGATTCCAGGTTGCAGCTTGTCAATTGCTTTGCGCTTCTCGTAGGCAGTACGCTGCTGATTAAGAAGGAGTGGATTAATGGTGGAGACTGAGGGACCTGGCCCACCAACACCAGGACGGCCGGCCAATAGTTGGGCAGGCCCTGCAGTCGGATAGTCGCGGACAAAGTTGGTGAAATCTACCGTTTGCGCTGGTGTTAGGCGCTTCTCGTTTGGGGGATGAGGATGGCCATGTGAAGTGTTCTCGTAGTGTACACCGTCCCGATAGATCCAGTACCGTGAAATTTTGCCGCATTGGTGCCATTGAAGCTCAGCACCACAGGCACAACCCGCTCGCATCTGTCTCTCGCGTGCGGGCTTCTTCGTCAATGGCCGCACGATGATTTTGCAGTTACCGTTATTGCATTTTGCGTAACCAAGACACCGCCGTCGAGTAAGCTTTCCGTCTGGGAAGGATTCTGCGGAGGTATCACCCTTGCTACTGCCCAGCGTTTCGAAAGCCCAGTTCACCCGCAAATTGAATTCCGTCACCATCTCTAATGGATAATCTGCAGCCCAGTCTCCTTCGGGCCAAAAATCCCAGTTGTGCTTCTGGACAAGCGCTTCGAGTCGTTCATCCTGCGACGCATCGGGTTTTACTTCTGATTCAGGGTGTTGGGAACGCGGAACATGCTGCTTTGGTGCCGGTGGTAACGGAATACGCTCGCGTTGGGCTGGCGTAGGACTGGTTGAGCGACGAGGGTGGGTAGAGGCAGCACTTGGGAGTTGACTCCCGCGGAGCAATTTGTCCGTGCTCCGGTTCTCAGCTGCGACGTGCTGACGCTTATGGCGCGAATCCGCGGCCTGTGTCAAAATGATTCCTAGAAAGTTAATAAGAAGCTATCATGGCATATGAAAGGTTTCGCACCTGCAGGATGTCCAAGCCTCACTCCAGTATATGCGAAAATCTTGCCATCTTTCCCGACAAGCGGTTGTACACCCACTCCAAGGTCCTCTTCATCAACTACGGATGCGTAGGAAGCACAAACTGGCACCCGAGAGCTGAACATACCAACAGGTATACCATCCACTTCACTTCCTGTCGATTCGAGGCTTGCAGACCTGTCGGAGGTGCTGTCCGATCGTTTTCGACGGCGTTTAATACCCACAACTTGCTGGATAAGTCGTCCGATGCTATTCTGATACAAGTGTTAGCCGCTGAGAATAGAGCCAATTGTGCATACCATAAACTCCATCTTGTATACTGGTTGACGGTGAAAAAGACGGAAAATATCACAAAGATTTGCTCAGGGGGATTTTCAAAAAACATCAGATTGGATCTTCAAACTACATGCAGCCGCTATTCGGCGTCGCCTGTGTCTGCGTCAGGGTCGTCATCCAGCTCATGCTGCTCTGCTTCATCCCACTCTAAGTTCGAACAGTCAGAAACACTGAATTTTCAACGGGGAGCATCGCATACCTTGAGGTCCAACAATATCCTCCTCCTCCTCAAGTTCTGACGGATCATCTTGCATGCGTGTTTGAATAGCTGAAAGGTGGTGTGTCAAATAACACATAGGCCAAAGAACTACTCACATTCATCGTTCTCCAATTTATTAGTAGAGTTGAGCTGGCGCCATAAACCCGGAAAGGCCGATGAACAGTCATCGCCCGTAAGTTCGACCAAATTTGGGGTCGTACGGCCATCGGATGGAAGTAAAAGACGATGAGAATACTTGCCATGTGTGTGGTTTCCATGATTTGTCAGGCTCGCACCGCCCCGAAAAACCACAACGCTGAGCTCAACTCCACAGGCGGCATGATATAGTGCATGTCCGCAGAGGCAAACCTGTTTCAGCTGCCGGGTAATTCCTTTCATTGTCGAGTCAGGAGCGATGCGTAGGCCATAAGCGCAGCGTGAAGCACCGCAAATCAGCGTCCCACGACATTTTGAACGAAATTTCTTGCCGGATAGGAGTGTGGGTGAATGAATAGAGCCTCGACGAACGCTAGGAAGCGATTCCAGCACCCAGAACACGTCAAATGCCCCGGGCGTTGTCAGCTCTGGCCGCGAGAGGCTATATTCAGTAGGGCCATCCGGCCACCCATTCCATTCCGAAGCCGCACGGCGCTGGAAGGAAGCGAGCGGCGGTGCGGGTATGGTTGTTGACACAGGCGTGGGTGAAGAACTGGAAGGGGCTACTGCGGGCGTTGTACTGAGAGATGGTCGTGCGATAGTTGCGCGGCGTGTTACTATTGAGTTTCAATGTCAGTTTAGTGTGAACTTGAACGCGGCTGGAGTATAACCTGTGACGCCGCTAGTAGGCTGCTGTTGTCCCCGAGCGCGAACCATGGCCACCAGGTTACCTGCATGGCTATGTGAGACTATTTACATCGCTTGAAGCCGGTCGCACGCACCATCAACACCATACGCCGGTCGAAGGATCGGCTTCTTCTTCTTAGCTTTGAGTTTTTCAATCTCATCTTCAAGTTCTTGAACTGCTGCTTGCAGATTCCAAAGGTAGAATGCACAGAGAGCTAGAGCTCCACCGTAGATGAAGGACAGTGCACGAGTTGTGAAAACCGTTGAGAATATGACGACCGTTGACTGGTAGGCAGAGATCACCCAAGGGAGGTACGCGGAAGCCAGAATGGAAAGCAATATCGTGTTTGAGGCCACAAGAAACCACAGTATTGGCTCGGCCATTTGGACTATGACAGCGTAGAAAATTGTCCTCGTCGGCGGCGATGGACGATGAACGAGAGAAAGAAGCGCTAAGCGGCTGTGCAAACGTCAAAGAAGTTACGAGAGTATCTGTCGACGAATAATACTCACTACCTGCCTGTGGCTCAGCTTCAAGCTGATTGTTGGTGTATACGAGCAATGGTATATTCGTGACAACTTGAAGTGTGCCAGTGGGCTGCGTCGGCGCGGCAGTGTGACTGGTATCGCGGCCTGTGACATGGCCGCAGCATGGCCGCGACAGAGCCGCAGCATGGCCGCGACACGGCCGCGACACGGCCGCTGCGGGGCCGCGACAAAATCCTCAATGGCTGCGGCCATGGAGGTACAGCCACACGAAGTTGGCCGCAAGACCGCGACATGGCCGCTGTACGGCCGCGACAAGTCCACACTTAAGTTGTCTCTCTGCACCAAACTGAGTGCCGATTGATATATTTGAGTACTACACGTGTCCTTTAACCAACCAACACTCAGCTCTATGCCCCAATGAGGCAGAGGCGTCCGTACGGCCCCCCTGCGGCCATGTGGCTGTGCAATCGCGGCCCTGCGGCCGTGTCGCGGCCATTTAGCGTGGCCCAGACGATAGCGAGGACTGGGAGCATCTTCTTGGTGTTGTTTTCCCCAAAAAAGTGCGCGTCGCTATAGTCTTCAAGCTCTTCTTGAACCACTTCTTATTCGCCCAACGCCCATAGCTGTTTTACCCTCGTTCCTCCCTCAGTCTCTCAAATCTGTGCGGTTTCTCGTCTCAGCAAGAAGTACGACCTCGCTACTTTTCGACAACAGTGTCTGCAGCTTCTCAAGAACGAGTTTCCCACCAGCCTTGTAAAGTTCGACGAAATATCACCATCTTGGACCAACCTCTCCGTACCGAAGGGCACCAAAATAGCTGAAGTGTGTATTCCAATCATCAATCTGGCTCGCGAACTCGGCCTGTATTCGATCCTGCCAGTGCCCAGCGCATTTTATCTTCTGATCCACAGTCGGGAAGGGGTCAGTTGGCTCGCTTCTCTCATTAGCTTCTTTTAAAACTCTTTTTTCAGATGCAAAAGGATAATCTGATGAAGCTGGATGACGAACAGGATCAGCTCGCTTACTTGAAGGCATATATCAAGATTGTCCGCTATTACACCAAGACCCCATCGAAGTGGTTGAACCCCAAATCTGGAATATTATGGGATGGGTGTACGACCCAATTGAAGTGCGGATCGGAGCGAAAAGAGACCTTGGTGGCGTTGCTGCCGGACTCGGATAGTGATTTCGTTGCCTCGATATTGGATACCTGGAACGAAGAGTGGGAGGAGAACATGTGTAGAAGCTGTGCGGTGAAAGCAAAGGAAGTATACGAAGCCGCTCGCCAAGACTGTTGGCAGGAGCTCCCATCCTATTTTGGCTTGGACAACTGGGAGACCTTGCAAAAGATGGACTTCGAATAGTTTCTCGTTTGAACACGCTCGCAATACGTACAAAAGTGCATACGGAATTCGACAAATATACAACCTACAGTACAGCTCGCGTTTAATAACATTCGGTGCTACTCGGTGCTATGAAATTACGCACCTGTCACAGCGTAACACCTGTCACAGCGTAGCTAGAAAACCTCATGTCGGCTTCAGAACCACCCCCACAGAATGAACAAAGACGACCACACGCTCATAATTAATCGCTCGAAGGACTATTGGTTCGAAGACGGAAACATTATCTTGCAAGTTCAGCAAACTCAATTCTGCCTGAGCAAATCAATACTCGCCCTACACTCGCCTGTTTTCCGCCAAATGTTTTCCGTCCCGTCACGGTTGCCTTTGGACGAGCCGCTGTCAAAAGAGTGTCCTATCGTGGTCCTGAGAGACGAGAGTCAGGACTGGGAGCATCTTCTTGGCGTTATTTTCCCCAAAGAGTGTGTCCCTATTATCGAAGCTCTCGCCAAACCAGTGCTTATTCGTTGACCCCACTTGACCTATTCCAAGTTCATCATTTGCAAGGCCTCCCAGTCGTCCAACCCGATCATCAATCTGGCGAGAGAACTCGGGCTATTCGATCCTACCTAGCGCGTTCTACCATCTCATCGACTATCCGGAAGGGGTATGTGACCTCGGCACTCATTCAAGTTATCATTTCATTTCTCGCTGTTTCCTAGATCCATGACCATAATTTGGTCAAGCTGGACAACATACAAGACCGAGCCGCTTGCTTGAGAGCATATATCGAGATCCTCCGCTCCTTCAACAACGCCCCATTGAAACTTGAATGGCTAAGCGCGAATTCTGGGATCTCATGGGTCGGATGCACGAGCAAGTTACGTTGCAGCTCCGAAAGAAAAGAGCTCTTGATGGCGCTGTTACCGAATACCGATTTCGTGGTTGCGGTATTGGGTGGGTGGAATAGGACATGGGATGAGAAGATGTGTGAGAGCTGTGTGGGCGAAGCTAAAGAAGTCTTTGAAGCTGCTCGCAACATTTTCTGGGAAAAGTTGCCGTCGTATTTCGGGTTGGACGACTGGGAGGCCTTGCAAATGATGAACTTGGAATAGGTCAGGTGGGAACAGCGCAACGATATGCCATTTGGTCAGTTTGTGAATTGATAATGAATATCATAGTTTACACATCCGAGTCTGCAACAAGGAGGATGAAGGTCTTTATTCGTGCGACGCGGATCTGTCCACGACTCACGAGTGGAGAGACGCAAGATATTCCTCCAGTGGGTGTGAGGGTTCGGTATTGGAGATTGGAGTATATTTCTCTTTTTATTGTTGCATTGAGAGCGACTCTGCAGCTGATAAAGCGCGTTACAAAACTGAATCCGGAGTTGAGCAAGGCACGAATAGATTTACAGTACATGTTTCTTCTTGAATTCATTGGAAAATTACAGCGTTCGGTCAATACCAACGACAGTACAATAACCAGTCCGTCCGTTTCTTTACCTATCATGCAGTCTTCTTCTCTTCTGACGCGGGAGCAGGGGCTGCGGCCGGTGCATTAGCCGTCGTGGTCTGATGTTCTGCATGGATACGCTTGGCCTCCTCGTGTATATCGAGCACCTGTTTCGACGTGGTGGTGTAGAAGTCGCGAACGCGGGCTCCCCATGGCGACGAGAGTGCCTTGTAGTAGTACTGGTTGAAGAACTATCAGGAAAACGTGCGTTGAATGAACAAGGAAGGAAAGGTTGAAGCAAGAAAAAAAACGTCAGTACCAATCGCCGAAACGAGGACAAGAACCAAAAGAGAGTAAAAAGTGTGGTAACGGGGGGACAGTTGCACGCGCTACGTACATCGGTAGCGCTCTTAGAGTAGCCCTTCTGCTCGTCGAAACTTTTAGCTTGCTGCGTCGCCGTTGTCACTGTTTCCGTGGCCTTGCCTGATAAGGTCTGGCCTTGGCCCAACGCCTTGGCTCCGACAGCACTGTCGACCGAGGAGAGATACGAGAGGAACTTCTTCGAGATGCCTTGCTTGTCTGCAGGGTGTTAGCGTGATGTGCCGATTATGACTGACGTTCTTACTGTCGATGTCGATCGCACGTGTAAGGATGTGGTCGCCCAAGATGTAGCCTTTAGCCAGATACTCGGCAGCAACTGTGCATTAATTAATGCGGTTGCTAAGGAGGGTAAATGGCAATGACGCACTGCCAGCTCTAGGCTTGTCGGACTGCTGGATGGGATGAGAATCGTCGGTGTGGTCGTCTTCGTGCTCCTTGTCGGAGGTTACGGTGAGGGTTGCGCCGTCAAGAGTACCGCCGTTCAGCTAGCAGGGAAGATCAGAAGTCATCGCGGGTGTGAATGGAAGGGAAGGTCCACCATTACTGCCGTCTTAGCGGCCGAAGACTTTTCAAAGTGTATCGTTGCTGTGGTCCCATGAAAGTCAATTTTATCGATCCTGGGTAATGAGCATTGCATTGAAGAATGGAGAGCACAGCACGTACTTTCCACAGAAGCTGAGCGATGGGAATGGATTAGATTTAGTCGCGATGAGATTGAAGGCACGCGTACGTGAAGAAATCGTGGACATTGGCTTCCGTGGTGGCGCTGGAGATTCCAGAAACCTACGGAGTAGTGAGAGACTGGGTGCCACAGTCGACGGTTTCAACGTACGTTTACAGAGTGGGTCATGGTGGAGAGAGACAAACAAGATGAGTGCTGAAAGCTGTGACGTGCACTGATGTCATGCCGTCGGTATTTCCTTTTCTGACAGTTTTCTTCTTTCGGCAACGCTTCTTTTTTTTATGTGTACAACTCTGCAAATCGGCCGACGGAGGACGAGCGAGCTAGAGGCTCCCGTGTAGGACGGAAAGCCAACTACCTATTACCTAGTCCGACAGCGGAGTTCAAACGCCACATTTCAAGTGCGTCTTCTTTTCTTTTTGCGTGGCAATTAGTTTCAGCTCAGTAAGACCTGACGAGTAGCACCCCAACTCCCGGTCTCATTTTGATGAAGTAGGTCGCGCAGTGGACGCATGGCCATCAGCAAGTAAGCCGTGGAAAACACACATTTTTGGACAGACAGCGGAAGCAGAGTGGCCTTCGATCACATCTTAATTTATTACATCTGGCTGGATGCCACAGCCCTTTATATTCCTCTTGTCTCCTCCCACCACCTCCACACAGTCGTGTATCACCCACTCCTTCAACGAGTGGTCACCGCCCTCCCACCCGTGCGTCTTCGCTTCCAGCCTTGCTCGCTGCTCGCTGACTGACACCTATTTAGACGACACTCAAAAAGCCACTCGCGTAGACGGCGTTTTGACGATGGACACTCCTCGCACCGAAGCATTCTTCTTCCACCCCCACCGCCCATCCGCTCCCATAGACATTCCCCACCAGTCGAGGTCCGTCTCTTGCCCTTCGGTCTCGAGTCGGCCACTCTCTCCCGACCTCATTTTCGAAATGGAACCCTTCTCTCCGCCAACACACTATAACGACTATTCCTCAAGCTCAGTCACGGCAGCCCCACATACCGACCAACATGAAGTCCAGCTTCGGCCATTGCTCTATCCATTGCCTGTTCTAGACCCCCGTCGTCTTCGAGACGGTCCAGGCCACCCTCCCCCGCCCACATCCCACAAAGTGTAGCACTGCCTACGCCGCCATTGCCATTCTTTCCCATCGCATATAATGGTCCCCGCCGAAGGGCTAGCACCGTCGCTTCCGGTCGAGACAATGAGTCTCGCTCCCCAGAACCTGGTTCGGGTCAACTTATTCCTGTCAACAAGGTTGTCGGATTCATACCTGACAAGACCTTATGCGTCTCGAAGCAGCAGTTGGACGCTTCAGTGCCAGAACTAGAGAGAGGTCGGCCTCGAACGATCAAATCGACAGCTGGCTTACAAACTCCATCGCCCACACCCTCTTGTGAGCGCAAACGAGAACAAGATCCGCCAGTTAGTGCTCCTGCAACGTTGCATCGCGCAGTATCTCGCTCCGGAAGCAATACCAACCACACTCATCGTCCGATTTCTCGCCCAGCATTTCCTCGACGGTCTTCTTCTTCGGTTCATTCCGGGTCTGCCCCCGCTGTTTGGCGTGTTCCAGCCGCTCATGCTTACCGCGACGAGGACCTCGATTTCTCGCAGTTCCTCCGTCGTCGCATCGAGAACCGCAATATTATGAGCTGGTCGCCCACTTCAAGCTCCAATGTGGCCCAGGCCCGTGCTGCGCTCTAGATGCGCGGTTAGGGTCCGAACTTCTGTCCCTCTTTTTTTGATGTCTTGAGCATGCCAGAGCCAAGCTCAGATTTCTCGGTGTGTCTCTTGTTTTACAACATCCAAGATGTTCACACCGTATTCTCAGTCAACCAACTGTTATTTTGTCTTTTTCCCTCGACTTCGATGAAAACCCGAAGCTTGGTACTTCGCCCAGAAACAACCAAAAATGTCTCGTCCCACTGCGGCGAACAAACGACCCCATCTCAGCATTCCCAGTCTCACGACACTAGACATATCATCCCCTGCATTGGCATCGAATCCATCATTCATCTTCTCCTTTAACGACAACGAACCCCCCGCATCCCGTTCTTTGCTTGTCCTGTCTGCATTACTTAGTTCTCTCTTCCCAGCATCATCATCACATCGTACATCACACCCAGCATCGCATTTCTTCCCTTTCCCGAGCCAGACCCCAGTTATAGAGACATAGACGTATTGATACTGTCGGCTCAAAACAAACTCAGCTACTAGCTTCTCCCACGTAGGTATCGATGTCGATGGTGGGAGCACATGTACCTCGCATTGGAAACAACCAGCAATGAACGAACGATAGCTGGATTAGGCTTAGGCGCAGAAAAAATATCAAGTCAACGTGTTTTCCTGTAGGCAGACCTACCTGTATCACAATTTCAATCCCAAAGAGTGCACTCGTATGAATCGATACGCGGCAGATCGCGGCGTTAGCGAGTGGATGCAGTGGAGCTATGGAAAACAGATCGGGCAGTGGTTCTGGGAGGGAGAAGTATCAAATTTGATTGTATAAGCTCAATCTAAGACACAAACCACGACTGGAGATAGAACCGCTTCTGTATATGTATGGTTTCGCGCAAGGGTTTTCAATGCACGACAACTTATCGATCCCGGCGCGGTCCCGTGATCGCGCAAAACTTTTGTCGCGTGTATGATAGGTATTCTGGTGCGAGAATTGAACATGTAAGTAATGCACTGAGGATGGAAGTCACTCGAGTCTGGCTATTTTTCCATCCTGTGAACGCGGTCGAAAACCCGAATCCGAGTCACATCAAGTCACATCAGATGAAGCGCACCGCCACTTCCGTAGTTTTCTCTCTCGACCCACATTCACAAATAACTAGCTGCTGGGGGCAATACGAGGCGCTGATGTCCGCTAGATGAGTCTTTTGACCTACGGGGCTTGCTTTCTGGCAAATACAAGGTGCATCTCGGTTCTTATATCTTCAAGTTGTCTCTAAGTTATACAGGCTGTTTCGCGGAATTTTGGAACGCTCTACTTCAAAATAGTCCTGATGTCTCCTCTCGACGCTCGCTTTCTTGATGTCTGGTGAACTCAGCAATTGGGCCCGTCGCGTTGGCAACTACTTGGCTCCGCACTTGCAGTGGAGACCTGTGGAGACTGTAAATTGAAGATCAACGCTAGAGGCAAGCGATCGATATACCCACTTTTATGAAGACTAGTGCTGGCCTGGAGACTGGGTATGTTGTCATCACAGAGTCCTGGATTTCAATTTAACTCCCAGCACTCGCTTCTTCTAGCCGCTATATTGTCGTTCGCCAATGCATTTGTGTTATTTGAATCGGCTCGTGGGCTCCATGCCCCAGCGAGCTCCACTGAGCAATTGTTTGCGACAGATACAACAATGAAACAAGCGATTTCGGTGGCGGGCGGAGCCGGACTGGCTGCTCGTAAGCGGCTTCTGGAGGTTAATGACTGTGGGCGTGCTCACTGGTAAGACCCGACCGCGATATCTTCAGGACTCCTCAGGCTACACACGCCAAGACATGCGCCGCACATGCGAAAGCATGCATTCGCCACGCTCGATCGTTGCCAGTGCATCCCACTGACTCCCAGGAGCTCCGAGTCATGTGCCAGGCGAGGTCAATGATGGGGACACCAGACGCGATGCACGATGAAGAATTCGAATACGTCGCACAGATCAATGACATTCCCTGCATTCAATGATGATTGTAATTGCTCCTCGGGTCTGAGCTAACAATGCCCAGTTGAGGCGCTGCTGCCCAGTCTGGATGTAGCTGCGCAATGGGTTAACGTTGCGCTGAACCATACTATCCACAGGACGCTTAGCCTAAAAAAAAGTAAGATGTTGCTCGACTTTAATTGCGGCGCGCTGATCTCTTACCACGGCCATTCTGAGACCTGATACAGCTGTTATCTGCATGTGTTTCAACTTCGAGGAAGAACGCGAACGGACGCAATTAATCTTTGCGATGGAGCTAGCATCAAGGTCGAGGTCTGGGTTCATCTAAGAAGGACGGTGGCGAGGTGTGAAAGGCAAAGCCCAACAATAACGAGGGTCATCTGGGTGCCTGTGTCGCTGCTATTGGCTGACCCAGGCTCTGGCTGGGGCCCAGTGGGTGAAACGGAGCCGTCGGAAGCGCGCTGGACGAGATTTGCCGATTGGATAGGCTAGAAAGCGGCACAGTCAATCAAGAATGGTGACACGGGTTGTTTGAGTTGGGAAGATATCTCAGTCAAATGGGCCCGGGATGCAGCACTTACCAACGCCGGTGGGTCGTACGTAGACCGGGGGAAGTCGATGGTACCACTGCTTACTCAGGCCCGTAGTCAGCACGACCGCAAAAGGCACATTGAGACCAACTCGGGGTTTCCGGCTGTAGATTTTGCGAGGTACAATTCGGCTCCCATGCATATTGTATGCTTTTTTAATTTAGCTAGCCTGCGCATAACAGATAAGATTGCTTCCAGGAAAAGACGGCGTTTCACTGGCCAATGAGCGCGGTCTGCCTCCGCAGTGAGCGCGCAAGCCGATGCGGAGCTGGCTCGAGACCGCAAGGACCCCGGCTCGCGCGTTGGTAAAGGTAAAATCTTTCCCTTCAGGGCTGCACTGGTGAGCGGCGCACTAAGCTGAGTGCAGACCAACGCATTCCTGGATGCAGAGTCACGAGTCCCAAAAATTCAGGGGCGAGATTGCGATTACTCACAGCTGTGCGACGGAGAAATCGAGGCCAGGTCGGTTCATCATTCGCATCTGGTATTTTGGCAATAATTACGTAGCGCGCTTGTGGCGGGCCTGGGCGGGCGGGTCGTGGGTCGTTTGGTTTTTTTTCTTTGGCAGTCGAACTCGAGAGGCGCTGCAAGGCGCAGCTGGCCGACGCGTCGCTGAGGCGCATCATTTGCAAGCTTGTTGGACACGACAGGCAGTGCTTTCGATCAAGTGTCGACGTGCAGGTGCCAGCGCCAAAAGATTTGGCTTTTTGGCACGAAGCTGCAGAGTATCAGCGAGTGGTTGACGGATGAGTGGATAAATGGATGGCGGAACTCGGTGGGCGCCGCGCCGCCCACCCACGCTCGCTGGCATCCCATTGGGTAGGAGGATGCCGTTGTCGCGCTGATATGGTAGTAAATTACGATCGTTGAGTCCAGTTACTTATCGCCACAAACGGCGGAGGCAGAGTCGGAGCGGATGAGCCCCAGGTGGTAAAGATCGCTTTGAGACCGCTCCTCATTGGCTCGCACCTGCGCCAAACTCAGTGGGCGCTTTGCAAATTTACGGCCATGACCCTCCACGACCTTGCTGAATACGCAATATTCCGAGTGAAAAGGGAGTGGAAGAAGATAGGCAATGATAATCATCTGATAGCCGAGGGATGTCAGGTGATTTTCCCATCGCCTCCGGGTTTGCTCGTGCCGTTCGCCGCCGGCATCGCGTTGGGTGGTGCCTGACCTGTGGTCCAAGCGAGGGAGCCGGAACCTCGGATCAGCGGCGTCTTGTGCGTGGTGGTTCTTGGCGATTTCTTCATCCAAATGACACTGATTGAATGGGGGAATGAATTCAAGGAACGCGATCAGGGCCTTCGACGCGGTCGGGACCGCAGGCTTGCTCGCATCGGTGCTTGTGCTTGTATTCCACCATGCTCCGATGAGCGCAGTTGGTAAGTCCAATGCTTCCGCTGGATGCTTGCGTACACAACGGGATGGCATCATGGGCGCTGGCGCCTACTCAGCTAGCCAACGGGAGGTGTACTTGGATGAGGTCATAGGCCGGGTCTTGATCACCTGCGATTAACATTGTGATTATCTCTTACGGGAGGACTGTGAAGCAAAGACGGAGGTGGACCAACTGGGCCGCCGGTACTAGCAGATGAATTGATGATACCTGAGAAGCAAAGGCTACCAAAGGAAGGTGTCGCGAAGGCTGCTTTAGATGCGCAATGTGCTCAGCGCTGAATTAATCTGCCAATCCAAACTCGCACCACCTTTGTTCGAGTTGAAGGCGGAGGTAGATGCCGGATCCGCGCCGGGCCACTGATGGACCAGAGTCGGTTAATTGCGTGACGGCCATATGCAGGTGCTCTGCGGGACGGTTCATGTTGATGGTGGTCGTCGACATTCATTATCGAGGTAAACTTAGCGTGGGTAACATGTCGCGGAGATCGGCAGCCAAAACGCGTCCGATTACTAGTAAGGACTGCAGTTCCAACGGCTTGCACGATCTTGGACTCAGTTCCGAGGAGGGCGGAGCGTATGAGTAGAAGAGCTGGTATGGAGACCTGAACCATCTCAGGCTGGGTAGTGACAAATAAAGCGCAGACTCGATACAAATCCGTCATACCTGAGTCTGCATTGAAGTCCAAGTTTGGAAACCTTTTGCGAAAGCTTTCGGGAAGATGTCGGGATTTAGAGTACGCAGGCAGGCACCGCCTCGAGGATTGAGAACCCGTATACGTCTATACAAACTTTGTCAGGCTTCGCGATCTGCATGCGGCTTTGGACTGATTGAAATGTGCGGGGTCGAAAACCGAGATAGATAGTAGACAGAGAATACACTCGGCCGCGGACGGCGATCAGCGAGCTGCCAGATAGCTGGCTGACATGGCGCACAGTGCTCGGCGAACCTCGGAGAGGCCAAGATCGACGTCGACAGGTGGTTCACTTCATTTATGTCAGTCAGGTCGGTTCGTCTGCGGTTGGCGTTGGCAGAATGTGTAATGCGTAACTTCAACTCGCCCGTCGTCAGTTCTAAGAATAACGCTGCCAGGCCTGATGTTCGCAGTCACCGAGGCCGACAAGGAGTGTCAGAGCGCCGGAGCCATCATGAATAGCGACAGGAGAGTTAGGGTGACGAAGAGGCCAAAGCAGTGCTGCCGAGCTCCGGACCGGGGGCTGGACAGAGGTCGACGCCAGACGGTGCAGTTGTGCCGTTGGTCGGGTCGGAGGCGGACCGTCAAGATTTGGCCATGGGTGTGCAATGAGGGGAAGACCGAGTTCTCGACCGAGCAGCGCGGAACTCAAACTTGGATTGTAGTTCCTGAAGAAGCCCTTGCGATTATCATGACCCAATACTCGTCTCGCAGCGTTGATGTTAACGTTCCTGGCGGCAGATTGGGAACCGGCAGCCGGTTCCGCGAAGGTGACGCCTTGTCTTCGTATTGTGGCGGACGAAAAACCTCGGAGAAAGACGCCGGAGGTCGAATGGGAGCACGCGGTCCGCATGGAGGAGATTGCGTATCTGCATAGTAATTGAACAAGGTACCGGTGGCGAGCAAAATGCACTCTGCCAAATACACAAATACGAGGACTAACCTGAGTCAGCATAGGCAACATCATCGGGCATTGTGCGACAAGTGGAAGAAGCTCTCACAGAGATGAAGAGGAGGAGACCAGGCCAGAAGCCGTAGGTGCGTTTGAGCTCGATGATTAACAAGTTCTCGCCTTCTGGGAGTCGAGATACTGCTCCTGGCCCAAGACGCCGCGAAGAAGACGGGGTCTGAGAGGCTATCAGTGGTAGCTCAGCTGAATGCGCCGAAGTGGCGATATTTGGAACCCCGGGCGGAATGGGATCAAGGCGATTGACTGATTGGAAAGGCAAACAAGGTCGAGGACGAGGAGAGAGGCAGTGTAGATGATTAACAGCTAAATGAAGAGATGCATCACAACGGCACATGGGTGGCGTGATCTTCGAATTGATGTGACTCGTAGAGAGGAACTTCATTTTCAACCGATTAATTTCGATTCCCAGTGCATTTCTCGACCAGGTCGTGAATGCTGCCATAGCTCAGGCTGGAGCCAAAACATGACTTGGTGATGCACCTTCTAGTGTGCTTGTGGATGACTCGTTGGAAACACGTTGAAAATTCAAAGTTTAGAACAGAAAAGCTCTCAGGCTGCTCAAAGTGAGCCTCAAACAAGAGTCAATTTTCCCTCAAAGGGTCACATGATCTAACGATGATATACCTCAAGTTCCACTCAGACTATCTATTTTGCAGAGCAGCATAATTGTCCAGCAATATGTTTTTCTTTCCTTTCAAGCTTATTGTTTTTTGTGGGAGTGTAGCTAAATTAATTGAAACTAAAAGTCTAAAACCAAGGCCCAGATCAATTCAATATGACTATATATGGATTGCTAGCATAATAGAGATTATCACCAGTGGGTATGTCTGAGAGGGATTACTGTAGCTGCAGTGTAGCATTTTATTCAGTTTGTATATTACACATCATACTGCCTATAAAATTCGATTTTTTTTGCATGTCACACTACTTTGCTCAAAATCCTGCCTCAGAAAGGCAATTTCTGACATTTCTGGGTGCCTCTGACACCAAGAACTTCCTAATTAGGAAATAATTCGAATTTATATTTTTGTATCAGATGGCACAGCATTCGAACTGAATATGAATAAGAATATTTTAAAAAATGAATAGGTTTTACTGGCCACTTCCAGCTAGTGATATGAACTTCTGAAAAACTTGATATTTATAAATAAATAAAAAAGAAAAAGAAAAATAGAGCTTAGTAGGGTCAGTTCAAGATTGCTGAGGGCTATTTGTCACTAATAATCTCCAATACTGAAAATATTTCCTGCCACTCTTTGAATCCAGGAATTATTAAATTTTCCTGAATTTTTTTCCTTTTAGCATAATTCAATAATAAGTTTTCTCAGCAACTTGAATATAATGTGTCACACAGAAGCTTAAGGTGAAATATCCACTGGGTTCATAGGTGCCACACCACACTATGCTTGGAATGGGATAAATCATAACTGTAAAATCTAAACTAACATGAATCTTGTATGCGGAGCTTGCAATCAGCAAGAGTGTGATTACCTCTTTCTAAGCTCAAATCAGCCTGGAATCTATTAGCCTGTGGCCATCAGGGTGGTACTTTCTAGGCAATGGCATGGGTTGGCCCAACCCATGAGTCAAACTTACCCATGGACCCTTGGGTCAGCTACCTGCGGACCTATGGGTATGTAGTCATGCAATAAGAGTAAGCAGTCATTTTATGTAATCTGTTTTAAACATTGAAGGACATGAGTATCTATAGACTTTCAAGTGCATTTGTAGCAAGTTCACATTAGTCTTAACTAATTAAAGTCCTACTATTGATATTTTAAATACAAATATAACTCTTTACTCATGGGTTTACCCATATCTATGCATATCCATACCCATGGGTATGGGTATGGTGGCTGTGCAGGTATGGGGCCTGTGATACCCAGGGGTTTACTCATACCATTCCCTAGTACTACTTTTCTTTTACTGAACAGTTTAAAAATTAAATTTATTATAAATATAACATAGTTTTTGTTTTTTTGTGGTATTACTGCTCATGAGTAAGAACAAAAATATTTGTATTGGAATGTAGGCATGCATTGCAGGCCCTAGTTTATTTAGTTTATCGTTCAGGATACCCCCTAACAGTAATTAATGCAAGGCTATCAGATTAGGGACATTTTTCTTAATCACACTTAAGTTTATATATACGGTTAATTCAACATGCTAGCACGAGATTGCTACAGATTGCATACTTTCCAAAACCAGCTAAGATATGTAAACTGTATACATTATAGTCATACCACATCCGCATAACAAACGCAGATTATTGGAGCACGGGCTGTCTTGAAGACACTATTTTTACGCGGTCTGTGCGGGCCCCGGCTTGGCGGACACAGGCCGCGACCCGATCAAGGTATCAACAAAAGGGGACGATCACGTGGGCCGATCAACACTTGCACATTGCTTCCACGACGCACACCCTATGGACACCGACGAGCACGAGCACGACGACGAGCGCGGCGGGGAGCGGGGCGGGGCGGGGGAGAGAAGGCCGGCGTGGCAGACGGAGGAGCTGGGGGAGGAGTGGGTCGACGTGGAGCCTGAGGAGGGCGATGGGGACGGGGAAGAGGGAGAAGATGGGGAGAGCGGGGAGGGGACGCGGTCTGTGTCGCTGACGGAGCCGCTGCCGAGCCACATCGTGAGCAGCACAGACAGCCCGGGCGGCGGGGGCACGGCGCCGTTCGGGGTGGGGACGTTCCTGGTGCGGGAGGACCGGGCGCCGGCGGTGCTGCCCAAGACGCCCGGGCGCGGGCGGAGCGCCGGGATGAAGGACTTCTTCAGCCCGCTGCCGCTGGAGCGCATGTTCGAGCCGCCTACCCCGCCGCTGCCGCCCGTCCCGATGCCACCCGTCAGCGAGGAGGGGAGCAGCGGGGAGGAGGTGCTGGAGACGGATCTGCCGATGGTGTCCTTCCACGGCCACGGGAGAAGGAGGAGCCTGGACTGCCGCTTCACGTTTGCGCCCCCCCAAGGCGACGAGCACGCCGTTGCCCCCTCCGCCCCCCGCCAACAGCCACCCCAGCAACAACCATGGGAACAATGGGCCAGCGACGGACCCGCGCCTGCGGCTGTTCCAGTTCACGTACGACACCTTCACGCGCGAGCACCTCTCCGCGCTCGCCGACTCCATCGCGGTCAACACCCCCTCCGGGCCCGCCGCCCCCCGCCTCGCGCCCGTCTCCGAGGACAGCCCGAGTTTCTCCGACCTGCGCAGCACGAAGCGCGTCAAGCTCAGCCCGCCGGGCGAGTACGGCCACGTGTATGGGGAAGGGGCGGGCGCGAACGCGAGCATCGCAAGACCACGGGTGCTGGGGAAGGCGTATGTCGGCGAGTCGCGCTCGCTGATGGAGAAGATCCGGCAGGCGCGCGACTTCTCGACGGTGTCGACGGTGGTGAGCGAGGCGAATGAGGAGAGCAAATATAGTGCTTTAGGTGTGTGGCCTGTTTTGTGTTTTTTCTTCTTGCTGATGGGGACAGAACAACTACGACGACCATCGCTATTGACGGTGCCCGATAAGGACAACAACAACAAAACTAGCCCCACTACTACGACTACTACTACTACGAATACCCCCACACCCACGCCCGCGCCGTACTCGTCGTCGACCTACCGCCAGCAGGCCGCGGCGCTGATGGCGCAGATCAAGAGCGACATGAAGGGCACGAAGCGCATCTTCTCGGGCGACACCGACGCGGACGTGTCGCGCGTCACCGCCGAAGTGTCGTTTGACAAGGAGAACTTCACGCCGCGGCACGCGCGCAGGGTGTCGTCGTCGTCGAAGACCAGGGCGAGTCCGCGGCGCGGCGGGAGGGAGGGCAAGGAGGCGCTCCTCGCCGCGGAGATGGCGCGGCTGGACATCGCGAGGCGGCGGCAGGCGGCGTTCGTGCCCGCGCAGCCCGTCAGCATCGTCGTGCAGCCCGCGCTGCTCGGGCCCCCCGGACACGCGCCGCCCGGCGGACACGTGACGGGCGGCGGACCGGGCGCGCACGTGCAGGAGGACCTGCGCCGCTTTGTGTCGAGCAGCACGGCGTCGGGGACGGGCACGGAGACGGGGACGACGCTGACGGCGGGGAGCTACGTGAAGCACGCGGGCCCGCCTGTGCCGCCTGCCATTGCGAAGCACGCGGGGATTAGGACGATCGCGCCGGGGGACGTGCCGGTGCTGCCCGAGCGGATGGGGGACATGTGGTTTGACCGGGGGATGATGCGGTGGGTAAGGAGCGTGCAGGCGGCGGGCGGCGGGGAGGGCGGGGAGGGGGCGCAGGAGGGGGAGAGCGAGGATGTGTTTGGGGATATCGAGAGTTTAAGGGATAGTCGGGACGACGAGGAGGGGGACGAGGGGGAGGAGGGGATGACGAGCTTCGAGACGGACGGGGGGGTCGTGCCGGTGATGACGGGGGTCGGGAGTATCAGGGCAGGGGAGGGGGACGAGACGACGGACTCGGAGGACGTGAACGATGCGGTTGATGGCGGGCTGTTGGCGGACTATGCGCAGGAGGGCGAGTCTGGGTCTGGGTCTGAGGAAGGGGAGGAGGACACGCAGCGCCCCGCTCTGCACCACCACCAGCCACAGGCGGACGAGTCGGTCACGGGCGCGTTCCTCCCGCCGCCGGTCGTGCTGCGGACCTTCTCCCCGCCGGCGTCGGCGACCAAAACTCCGGCGAAGTCGGCGCTGAAGACGCCGGGCGCGTCCACGCCGGGGCCTGCGTTCACCCCCGGCCCGGCGAACAGGGAGCGGGACAGGTACACGACCCCGCAGCAGCAGCCGGCCCGACGCGCGCATAGACGGTCGGTGAGCTTCTCGGACGGGAAGCGGGACGGGCCGATCCGGGGGCTGGTGGAGAGCAGCAGTGTGGGTGGAGGAGGGCAGCCGAGTGTGCGGAGTAAAAGGATCGCGGCGATGTTCGTGGGCGCGGAGGATTCCGAGGAGGAGGAGGAGGACGAGCATCACGACGAAGACGACGATGTCCAAGACAACGCAGACGACAACGAAGACGCGTCGGGGGTGTCCACCAGCACGCCGCGGCGCGCGTTCTCGCGGACACATGCCCAGCGGGCCGACGCGCTCCCGCACGGGACGTTCCTCACCGAGTGCTCGTTCGGCGTCGCGCACGACCGGCTCGTCGCGGTGCTCACGGACGTGGAGCCGTTCGAGCCGCACTGGGAGGCGCTCCCCGCGCTCGACCTCGCCGGCAAGGGGCTCGAGAGCGTGGCAAGGCTGAAGGAGTTCGTGCCCGGGCTGGACGCGCTTAACCTGTGGGTTTTTATTATTATTATTACCAGGGTTATGGGCTAACGGCGACAGGAACGGGAACGCGCTGGCGTGGCTGAGCGGCGTGCCGGGCGGGGTCAGGACGCTGGCCGTCGCGTCGAACAGGTGTGTGTTTCGGTGATATCAGGGAAACGCGGTCACGTGCTGATGGCAACAGGCTGACGGGCGTGACGTCGTACAGCCATCTGCTGAACCTGGAGAACTTGGACATCAGCCGGAACGAGGTGGAGTCACTGAGCCGTGGGTCCCTCCTCTTCGTTCCACAAAAAAAATTATTTATTAAGTATTATTATTATAGAGCTGGCGTGTCTGCGGCACCTCCGGGAACTGCGCGCGGACGGGAACGGGGTGCGCAGTCTGGAGGGCCTCGAGGGCCTCGACGGGCTCGTGAAGCTGTCGCTCGCGAAGAACAAGCTGCGCGCGCTCGACGTGCGCGCGGCGCGGGTGAGGTGGACGCGGCTGGAGGTGCTCGACGTGAGCGGGAACGCGCTGAGAAGGGTCGCGGGGCTGGGCGGCCTGCAGGCGCTCGTGGTGCTGAACCTGGAGGACAACGAGCTGGGCGCTTTGGACGTCGCGGAGGGCGGGCCTGGGATGGGCAGGCTGCGGGTGCTCAGGGCGTCGGGGAACCGGATCGCGCCCGGGGCGCTCGGCGTGGCGGGCCTGGGCGGGCTGCGGACGCTGTATGTCGACGGGAACGCGCTGAGGGGCGACGAGCTGCTGGGAGATGGGGGCGGAAGGCCGTTGAGGAGCTTGGAGAACCTGAGCATCCGGAGCCAGCGCGGCGGGGCGCTCAGGATGGACGTCGGGGCCGTACGGGACGCGAAGCGGCTGTATCTCAGCGGTGGGTCCCTTGTTTATTACATAAGACACGTGCTGATGGTATTACAAGGAAACACGCTGCCGGCGACGTTCCTGTCGACGCCGTGCTACAACCTGGTGTACCTCGAGGCCGCGCGCTGCGGGCTGACGGCGCTGCCGCGCGACCTCGCGGCGCTCGCGCCGAACCTGCGCGCGCTGAACCTGAACTACAACTTCCTCGGCGAGCTCGCGCCGCTCGTGGGGCTGACGCGGCTGCGCAAGCTGAGCGTCGTGGGCGCGAGGCTGAAGGAGACGAAGGAGGTGATCAGGGCGGTGCGCGGGCTGCCGGCGGTGGAGGTGCTTGATTTCCGGTGAGCATCAGCTATTTTTTATTTTAAGGGGTGCTGATGGGGACAGGATGAACCCGTGCACGCTGGGGTGGTACCTCCCCCTGCTCCTCGACACGCACGCTTCCGACCCGGACGAAAAAGGACAAGAGAACGGACAGGACACGTGGGCGGAGCGCGACGCGCGGTTCCGGCGGGGGCTGCCGGACGCGGCGTACGTGGGGCGGCTCGCGTACCGGGGGCTCGTGATGCGCGCGGCGGGCGCGCTGCGCGTGCTCGACGGCGTGCCGGCCGCGGCGAAGGAGCGCGCGAAGAGCGAGGCGGTGCTCGGGCTCATGCGCGCGTGAGCGGGGGGCGTGACCGCGTCGCGTGGGCGTGGGCGTGGGAACGGGGGCGATGGTGATGGTGATGGCTGGGAAGGGAGAGGGGTGTGATGTAATCGGTAATTTAGAGATCGATCTAGCGTCGTCCGCATTGGGCGTGCGAGCCGGGTCGGCTCGCTGGCTCGGCTCGCGGGGGGCAATATAACCCGATATGGGGCGGTCGTCCGAAACGCGAGTCGAGTCGCGTGCGGTGCCTGTGTGGGAGCGGGCGAGCGAGTGATAAATGGGTGCGCCTATTCGGGTCGAAGGGAGGTGCTTCGCCAAGATAAATAGACGGCAGGCGGCCGGGGTGGGCAAAGTTAACTCTCTCTCCCTTTTACGCCGTCGTCGTCTGCCCCCGTCGCTGCGGCCCGCTGCAGCTACTACGACCGCCAAGCCCCGAATAAAGACAGAAGATAACAAGAAGAGACAGAAGATAGATGCTCGACGCCATCCACGCCGAGCACGCCCACGACCAGCTCAACTCGTACAACGTCGCGCAGCTCCAGTACGCGCTGTACGCCCTCCCCCCGCCGCCGTCGTCGCTGACCCTGACGCTCTCCCTCTCTCTCCTGTAGCGCCGCCGACAAGGACCGCGGATTCGTCGCGATGCTGGACGACAGCGAGGGTGCCCTCATGTGCGTTTTTTCTTTCCCTTGTGTGTGATAAAGAAGGGAGGGCTGATGAGAGACAGAGTGCCGGACATCGAGTACGACGAGCGGCGGATGTCGACGGGCGCGGCGTCCGCGGACACGGAGTCGTCGTCGCTCTCGTCTGCGCATGCGCTGCGACGGGGCAGCGCGACGCCGAACGATTCGCCCGTGCCGAAGAGCGTGCGGCCCGACTGGGCCGCGGGGGGAGGAGGACAAGAAGGTCTCGCTCCCGTCGATATTCACGACCTTCGAGGAGACGTATAGACCTGAACGCCGCGCGAGCCTGCCGACGCTCTCGGGCCAGGGCGTAAGGCACAGCCCGTACCCGCAGCCTGCCCGGGCGCCCGCGTATGCGCCGTCCAATCTGGGCAGCTACACCTTCCCGCCGACGAGTAGTAATAGCGGCGACTACGTGGACACGCCGACGCCGAGCTCTGCGTTCCCGCCCACGCCCTCGAGCGGGTTCTCGCCCGGGCCGGGGATGCACCTCTCGCCGTACGCGGAGTCGGACCACTGGACTTCATCCCCTGCCGGCATCGTGCGGCCGAGCTCGACGCCGGGGAGCAGCGGGCCCAAGTACGAGGAGCTGGGCGGCGCGGGCGGCGGCGCGCCGGCGTTACGGCACGCGTCGTTTAGCGCGGGACACATGTCACCGCAGATGTTCGCAGGCTCGGCTCGTATTTCGGGCCATCACCCGGCGGGTATAAAAGGCGACTGGGGCTTCCCCGGGGGGGACCCCTCCTACCACCCCCACCACCCGCACCCGCACCCGCACGCCTACGCCATGCCTGCGCCCGCGTCGCCCACCCGCTCGCCCCAGGCCCCGCCGTCGTCGCTTGTGGACCGGCCCCAGCGGAAGCGGGGCAAGCTCCCCAAGGAGACGACCGACTTCCTCAAGGCGTGGCTCCACCGCCACTCGGACCACCCGTACCCCAGCGAGGAGGAGAAGAAGCAGCTCTGCCACGCGACGGGCCTCAGCATGTCGCAGGTCTCGAACTGGATGATCAACGTGAGTCCCCGTCGCCGTCGCTGTTTGTGTTTTTTTTCCCTGCACATGCGAGCGTTCCGCCCGCCCATCATTAATTCCATCTTTCACCGTCTTTAATCTATCACATCACGTACTGATGCCTCCCCTCCCCCTTTAGGCCCGCCGGCGGATCCTCGCGCCCGCGCACCGCGCGGCGTCCGGCCCGACGACGACCGCGCCGTACCCGCCCCCCGGCGGCGGCGGCCTCGGCGTCGGCGGCCGCGCGCTCCCCGGCCTGCTCGACGCACGAAGGCAGTCCCTCCCCGGCGCCGACTCGCTGCAGCTGTACCACCCGATGACGCTCCAATCTCTGCCCCCGCAGCACCACGGACACCACCCCTACGCGCACGCGCACCACCCGCACCACGCGCACCACGCGCCGCTCCCGCACGAGATGGGCTACGGCCGCGCGCCGCCGGTGCCCGCGCTGCGCATGGGCCCCGGCATGGAGTACGCCGGCCTGCCGCCGCCGCGGAGCGCGGGGCCGGGCGGGTACGCGCCGCAGCCGGGGCAGGGCGGCGCGTATGGTGTCCCACTGAGCGCGCCCGCGAGCATGAGCGGGAACCCGTTCTCGCCGCCGCCGCCGGGCGCGCCCGGGACGGCGTACCTGCCCAGCCCGAGGGAGGAGGGCGCGGGCGCGGCGGGGCCCGGGAGGGGGTACTTTGACGGCCCGCCGAATGGGGGCAGTGGCGGGGGGGGGAGGGGGAGGGGCTGCTGCACAGGGACAGGGGGGAGGGCAGGAGTCGGCGCCGGGGAGCGCGTATGGGACGCCGCAATAGCGTGCTGAGGGGTATCAGCGAAGCGAATCTGATCGGCTGGGGGCTGGGAACGCAGCGAAAAAAAAATTACAATGGGGATCGAGATGGTGCCGTTACGGATATGGTCTCCACGGATCTCCTGCCCCTCCTCCCACCGCTGCGCTTCGCCGCCCGCCCGCCTCCGCGTCCGCCTTCTTGTGTCGTCTGTTTCTTCTCCCTACCGTTGGACACCCACCCGCAATGCCTATTTATCACGCAATCTCTCTCCGTACTCTCGCTGTTCTTGTCTGTTCTCCTGTCGTATACCACTCCGTTCCCCTGATTGATTGATGCTCTGTTCTTTTTTTTTGTGTATTACATGTGCAGAAAGTAGTGTAGTAATGTGCATATTCGTGATAGTGACGCCCTAGGAGAGAAGCGCGTGCAGGGAGGAAAGCCTCGGAGTCGGGGGAGGGCGTGATCTCCTGCGCCGGTGCTGGTGGGCAATTATAACGTATGGTGTGGCCCGTGCTCCGGGGCTAGTCCCGCCTAGGGGGGCATGGTAAATTGCGACTGAATGGGTGCCTGGCGTTTGTTCGGAGGCTGAAGTGAAGCTGATGCTGGTCGTGGGAGTGTTGGGCCGCAAGCGAAGGGGAAGGCCGCGTTGGGCACAATGTGCGGCGAACGGAGGAGAAGGGGAGGGGGAGCACACGGCGCGGAACGCAACGCAGAACAGAACAGAACACGGAGAAAAGAACAGAACAGAACAGAAGAAGCGGGGGGAAGTATCTCAGATTCACGGAAACGCGTCGCGCGGCACAAAGCGTAACACAACCGCAAACAGGACACAAAAACGCAGAAAGACGCCGTCCGCGGCGCCCTTGCGTAGCTAGCTGCCCGGGAGCACATCGCGTTTCTCTTCTCTGATGTCGTCCGGAGCTCGCCCGCGCCGGTGCAGCACCAAATCGCGCCATCGCCATCGCCATCGCCATCGCCATCGATTTCCTACTTCCCCACTATCCGTGTATCCGCCCACCCCGGGCCAGCCCTTCCCTTCTCGCACCCACATACACATACGCCCCAAACACCCCTGGCGCAATCGCAATTTATCTTTCCAGCACATGCAGCGCTGATGCCCCTGCCTGCCCAATCGCCGCACGCCTTTCCTTCCTTCCTAGCTGACGCTGATCTGCACAGGCCTGCGGCGTCGACGTGCGTTAATTGAGGGCTGACACACGACACGACAGCGAGACGCCGCGGACTCGGAGACGGAGGAGGGCACGGGCCGCGGCCGGCGGCGACGTGTGATGCTGATGGGGCTGTGATGGGCACACGACAGCGACAGGACAGCGACAGCGACAGGGAAGGGCGTTGAAGGACGGCGTGCACGGATGTCGAGGAAGGCAGGAAGGGCAGGCTGCCGCGCCCGCCCGCGGCGGTGCAGCGCTGACGTCGACGTGCGCGGTGTCGGCGCTGGCGCGGGGGCGGACGCACCCATCACGCAGCAGCGATCGCTGAAACCTTGGGTTTAGCGCGCGCCTATTTTTCTCTTGTTGCAATTGGCTCTTTCTGTTCGGGGAACGGGGAACGGGGAACGGGGACGCGAACCCCGAGGACGCCGGGCGCGCGTCGGGGAGCGCTTGGCCCCGGTGTGTAAGCACGCACTGTATCTCTTCATTAAACAGATCGAAGGCGGACAAGGGCAGGCCTCCGTGGTGTGTGGTCGTGTGTTTTTTTTTTGTTTGGCCTGGCTTCTCTTCCTGTTACCGGTGCCCGGCCCGCCGCCGCCGCCACATTTGATAGCAGGCTGGCGAATATTAAATGGGTGCGATCGCCATCAGATGGCGCGCGATCCGTCCGACGACCTGCGGCGTCTGCCAGAGCCAGCGTACGTCACCCGCGTCTGCGCGGCGCTGCGCTCCCCGTCTGCGGGATGCCCGACCCGGCCTCGACAGCAGGCTGCCAGTTGGGGAGGCTGAGGGGCGGCATCGCGACACGCGGGTGTTGTTGGGCATACATAATAATTAATTGCAGTTGCAGGGGGCAATTAATATCTGCGGTTGCAATAACCACGCAATCTGATGGCTTACGGCGCGCACTTTAGCCATGCGCGGCGAAACGAGCAGCGCCTGAGCGAATTTGCACGCCCCAGCGGCGCGGGCGACGGGCAACGCCCAGCTCACGCATCGCGTCGCGAGCCGCGCATTACGCCCGCCCAGCCCAGCTCGCCAGCTTCGAATTTGCGCATACTTTACGCATACTTTGTTTTCATTTGGCTATCGCTATCGAATTCGCATTCGCCAGGCACAGGCGCCCAAGTGCAACAGGCCCTTCCCCGCCGGCGGGGCCCGCGTGCTCGTGGGCCCGCGCCCGGACCCGCGACCCTGCCGCAAGCCGGGCAAGGCGGGCGCGAAACGCGGACCGCACAGGCAATTCGGAATCGGAAAGCGGTCCCCTGACCCGGACCATGCATGATCGGCGGCGCGCGGTGCCTTTTCGCGCCTTGTCCCTGGGCTGGCGCAAGGTCTGGCCTTGAGCCTCCTTGGACGAGCTTCAGCAAACGCACAAGTCGAAGGCAAACTCACCGGTCTATGTGAAAATCCGCGCCGGAAGGGCAGCTTCGCTCTGCCAGTCTTCGATCTGGCAGACGTCAGGGTTCAGGTCGCCCGCACAGAAAGAGCCATGGCAAGCAAAATTCGGGGACCCCTGTGTCCGGGAAAACGGTCCTCAGCTAAGTATATGCGCAGCCGGGCGCAGATCCGCGAATTCGTCCCCCAAGGCACGATCAGCCTCGATCAGCGAGCCAGCCGCCCCTATCCCTCAATTACACGTGCGAGCGAGCTGGCGAACGCCGTCCCAAATCCAATGGACGCGGCGCGCCGAGCCGCTCACGCGTCGATCCCGATCACGATTCAGCCTAGGCCTGGAGCGTCCGCCGAGCTGGTCACGCGGCGTTGGACTCGGGAGTTGGCCTTGAGTTGGCCCCAAGTGCGCACGCCGCTAGCCTGAGCGCTAGCCGCTCGCCCCTCCGCACAGCCTGAGGCCGGCCCGGGCGGGCGGACGTCACGCAGACGCAGACGTCAACCCTGCCAGCGGTCGCCGACTAAACGCAAATTAACGTTCTAGCGGCGAGCCTAAACTCTAACACAAGTTGGCATTGGCACTTGTGTGTGTGTCAAATCGCCCGCATCCGTCGGCGAGGCCGCGGGGAGTCCCACATACTTGGGTCCCTGACAAGGAGCAACTTGAACTTGCGGGGGGTAGTTGACGAACGAAGATCAAGCGCAGGAGGGGGGGCCCGGAGTCGAACCGCGACACCGAGCCAGGCTCGCGCTGACGTCAGCCCAGCGCGCGCCGGACGAGCCTGTGTGGAGCGCTGCAAACCGGCGCGACGGGCGCGCAGAATTCCGGTCTAGAAGGCGCGCGGGGGGTTGGCGGCCGCGCCAGTGGCGCCGGCTGCCGGAGTATACAGAACGCGGAAAATGGAGCTGCAGTCACGGTGTATTGTATGCTTCTTTATGTGCTTTCCCGGAGAACAGATTTGGCATGGTAGTAAAGTTCTGTGGTCACCTTCAGTGGCGCGTTTAGGGCACGGTTGACAGTGGCGATTCCGAGGGAGGCGGATGGGCGCATGGATAGGCGCGGGAGAACACGGTGTATGACGCGCGAGGAGAATAAGCTGCAGCAGCGCGGACGATCCCAGCGCGGACGCAGGGACAGTAAGACAGGCAGAAGTATAAGTGAAGGAGGGCAGGCGGCGTCTAAAGCCAGACCAGGAGGGAGCTTGAACGGCGGTGTGCGGAGCCAGAGCCAGCTCACGAGCTTGAACCGTTCTGAACGAGAGCCTAAGAGACCAAATAAGCAAAAAAAGAAATACCATGGACAGTACCTTCAAGGTCCTCGATCGCTGGTGCTCATTTCAGTTCCCGCTAAAACTTGAAGCCGCTTTTCGAACGTTAATTCTGACCAAGACAATCAGTAGACATATGTTCACATACGGTACTAGTACCTGCATCCTCTTTGTCGCAGCATTGACGATGGCAGCCATGATCACTGGCACTGTCCAACTCGGAGTCTGTTGGCCATCAAAAATACAACAGCATGTAGCACCGGCATACCTCCCACCTCCGACCTTGGGCTCGACTCGGAGAATAGAGTGCATTTTTGCCCAAGCAAGTTCGGGCACCTGCTTTTGCTGTAAGGTTACACGGGTGTCGGAATATCGCAGGGGGCAAACAAAAGCCTTATGTTGCGCTACCGCGAGCTTGAAGCGAACGAGTCGCGGGAAGGGCCAACTGAGGCAGAGAGGTCAACAACTTATCATGATCGTGATCAAGCAAAAGATCGAAGGGAACGCGCACCTTCAGGCCAAGTTTTCGCTCGTTCAAGCTTTCGCCATGAGCCACTGGCCTCAACAAGAATTGCAGACTCGGAGATATCAAGACAAACCACAAACATTTGTTCACATAAGTACCCGGCCACCGATACGAGGTCCCTTCAAGTTCCGGCTCCATGGCAGCACACCTTCTCATAATTTCGTCTCAACGTTACTTGGACTATTTGATATGCAATGAGCCCAATGCTAGTACATACAACGAAACGACTTGCCAATGTCGACCCGCTCCTCGAGGCTCCAAGGAGCTATTCAAAGTCCATCTTCCGCAAGGTGTCCCAGTCGTCCAGGCCAAAATACTCCGGCAGCTTCTCCCAGCACTTGATGCGAGTGGTTTCGTAGACTGGCTTCGCCTTCTCCGCACACAGTGCACACATTTTCTGATCCCACTCATCATTCCACTCATCCAAGAAGCCGAGCACCTGATCGGGAGCTGAGAGCAGCTCGAGAAGAAGTGCCTTTCGTTGCGCGCTGCATTGGAGATGGTGCAAACAGCCGTCCCACGATATTCCCGATTGTGAGCTCAACCATACTAAAGGTGTTGCTTCATAGCAGCGAATGATTGTGTTGCACGCCTTCAAGTACTTGAACTGATCCTCCTTGTGCTCCAAATTCGCGATATGCTTGTCTTGCCTCTGGATAGCATTGAGCGGTCGTGTTCAAAGAGTTCAAAGTTATCCCTACCCCCGATTCCCCGTGCTGCCAGTGGAGGATGGTGTAGAATGCGCTTGGGAGGACGGAATACAGGCCGACTTCGCGTGCGAGGTTGATGATTTGAACACACACTTCAGCCGTGTCGGCGTCGACCTTAACAGACAAGCCGCGCCACTGGAACCCCACTACGTCATCCAGCTGCTCCAGACTGCTGGGGAAAGTTGTCTTGAGCAGCTTTACGCAGCGCTTTCGGAAACCCGCAATGTCGTATTTCTTGCTGAGACGCAGGACCGCGCACAGGTCGGGCACAGATGGGGCGCTGTCCGCGCCATCGTGGAAGCACCTGCACAAAGTGGAGTGGTTTTGAGTCAGCCTGGGGGATTTGCATTGGCAGACGCGACGGGCGGTGCTCACTCTTTGGGAAAAATCGCCCGGAGGAGATACTCCCAGTCCTCACTCGTATCCCCAAACAAGACCACGACAGGGCATCCCTCAACCAAAGGCTCTTCTGGAGGTAATGGGAGAGAAAACATATCGCGAAAGACGGGCGAATGCATTGCGAGGACCGATTTGCTCAGGCGGAATTGGGTTGACTGAACTTGCAAGATGACGTTTCCGTCGTCAAACCAGAAGTCTTTCGAGCGAAGGATCACGGAGCACTGGTTCTCGTCATCTGTTCTTTGCCGCTTCAAGGGTGGTTCTGACGTCGACATGAAGTTTCTTCACAAGAAAGTCACGCTGTGACCTACTAGAGTTTCTACTTGACTGTCGTTATGTAAACGAGGATCTTTGCTGGTGTTGAGCGGGCTCTGAAATCACTTCAAGGAGAATCAACTCCGTATTATACACAGTATCGTAAACAGTTGAATGCGCTCAAAAAGTTATTCAAAGTCCATCTTTTGCAACGTCTCCCAGTCTTCCAAGCCGAAATACGATGGCAGCTTCTCCCAGCAGTCTTTGCGAGCGGTTTCAAAGACTTCTTGTGCCTTGGTCACACAACTCTTGCACATGCGTTCATCCCACTGATGGTCCCACACTTGAAATATCGAGGCCACGTTCTCGCTGTCCGACAGCAGCTCAGCCAACATCTCTTTTCGTTCTGAGCTACAACACGACGAGGTCTTGCATCCATTCCAAGATATTTCCGACTTGGGAGCCAGCCACTTCAATGGGGTGTTTGTGTAGTAGCGTGTTATTTTGATATATGCTTTCAGGCAAGCGACTTGATCCCCTTTGTCGGTCATCATCGCCAGACTATCCCCACGGATCTGGAGAGCGTTGAGTAGAGTAGATACAGGGCGAGTTTGCTTACCCTTTCAGAGTTTTGGATAATGTTATAAAAAGACAGTAGGGAGGATCGAATAGAGGCCGAGTTCCCGAGCCAGATTGGTGATTTGAACACAAGCTTCGAATTCTTCGTCTTTGCGCACACAGAAATGAGTCCAGGACCTCATCACTAGGTCGAACTGCGGAAGTTTGGTGGGAAACTCCGCCTTGAAACGCTCCACACAGTATTTTCGGAATCCAGCAAGGTCGTACTTTTTGCTGAGACGGAGAATTGCAGAAATTTGATGCAAATAGGGCTGTTCGAAAGAAAAGCAGCTGTTGGCGCCCGAATAATGAGTAATAGCGCGACAAGGGTTCGAATAGCGTGGCGCACTCTTTGGGGAAAATCACACCAAGAAGATGCTCCCAATCTTCACTTGCGTCTCCGGAAAGAACCACGACTGGACAGCCTTCACACAGCGGCTCGTTTTCGGGAAGCGAGAGAGAAAACATAGAATGAAATATGGGCGAGTGCATGGAGAGGATCGATTTGCTCAGGCGGAATTGGGTTTGTTGAACTTGCAAGATGACATTTCCGTCCTCGAACCAGTAGTCTACCGAGCGAGATGTGATTGGCGGTACTAGGTAGTCGTCGTCATCGTCCGAGTCTTCCGTTGTTTGCCGCTTTGCAGAAGGTTCTGAGGTCGACATGAGGTTTCTTGACAAGAGCGTCACGTTGTGACGACAGGATTTTGACACCACCTCGCCCTCCGCCCGACATCTATCTCTGACAAATACCAAATGCGTCCTGGCAGAAGCTCAATCGAGGTCGCTGTTTCTCCAAGTTACATCACCACCACTTCGTCTTCTTCAAGCTATGGATTTGCATGCATCTTGAATCCGAGCCTCTTGTCGGCGTATTACTTACGGCCCGGGACCACGCCCGAAAGTCAGAAGTATGGCAACCGGTTAACCAACAAGACTGAGTCAGACGTAACCGCTATGTACTGGCTCAGTTCTACTAGTACTTACTACGATTCACAGGGTGGTGAAAGGCGCAAGTTTTCTGAAAGAAGATCATATGTAGGCTCTCCGAGTCGATTCTAATCCAAGTTAGCGACAAGTATTCACTCTGACACTCTCGTCGACTTGAATCCTCCTTTGAAACTTGCTAAACTCGTTCCAACCGCAACTGTGGATTATATCGCTTTCACAAATCTGACCTTTTCCTAAGCACCCACAACCACGCGACTTTCTCGGAAATTTGGTCAAAGCACTGTGTGACTGGGGCAGTTGTTCCTTTTCTCCACCCACACCTACGGTCTCAGACGACCCCGATACAACACAATCGACATGCCAACGTGGAGCTGGATCAACGATAATCTCCGCGATGTTCTTCCCCCAGAGGAGTTCCTGGAAGAGCACATGCAACCGCCTGCAAATGAACGGCCAGCCCGAATCCGGGCTATGACACTCAACGCAAAGCCATCTCTCAAAGAAGCGCGCAAAACGCTTCGCTTCCAACTAGACCGATGGCAAACTGTTGACCAGAGTCCAGACGAGGGGGTTGTCCAGGCGCCATTCGTACGTGCCACCGACATCGATATTGTTGCATTCAAGTAACTCATAACTACTTAGCTGAAGTATGGGGCGGCTCTGCTGGACACGCATAACACGACTGCTTTCGACAGATGGAAGTCGCAGGTTGTGTTTCTGAACGACAAATCGGACTGGGAGGCCGATATTATCAGCATAAACCATATCACTGGGTACCACCAATTGCGGGGGGGCTTTCATGACGCATCACACCCGGAAAACCAAATGCGTACCCAACTGTGTACAATGGCGCAGGACCTGCTCATGGAATCCGGTCGCTGCTTCGTCTACATCCTCAGCATTTTTGCCATCGAGCACGCCCGCATCTTCGTCTTCGACCGTTCTGGATTCGCTGCTTCTGAACGCTTCAACTGGCTCGGTGACAAAACCGACATCTTACCTCGATTCTTCCTCCGGCTCTTCAACTTGAATGGTCTAGACGACACTATCTCTCAACCCGATGAACAGGTCGTAGCGAGACTGTGGACGGTGCTTTCCCACCATCCATATTACTCCCAGAATTTGGACGAAAAGGTGGTGAAAGGGAACTGCTTGCGCCTCCTAGCCTCCCGCCGTATCAGCGGGAAAGGCCCAGATGAACAGGAACTTGTTCATTGTCTGACGGTGGGCCAGCGCCTATTTGCCTACGACGGTCTGTTTGGTCGTGCCACGCGCGTTTATCGTGTGATTATTGAAGAAGATCTCGTGAACGACGCCCTACCAGCCGTCTACGCTCTCAAAGACGCGTGGTGCGAGGGATTGGAGCGACCCGAGGTAGATTTTTACGACCTCATAGAACACCATTGCGAGACTGCCGAGCCGAAAATCGATATGGACGCAATCGGGATGGCGCGTTGTTGCGGGAGCATCCAACTTTCCGACTCGACTTCCCCATTGTTCGATGCGTCTTGGAATCCTCAATCACACAAAACACGGCTTGCGGAAGCTACGGCGGATGAGTATCAACGTCACCATCGACGACTGCTTCTCACACCTGTGGGCTCTTCAATAAAATCGTTTGCCTCAACAAAACAACTCATTCAGGCATTATTGAATGTCTCGCTTCGTCCGTCATTTTGCGCTTTATTTCAATGCTACCACGAGGCTGACTGGGATTCAGACCTCAAGATTGCCGACGATGCAGGTGTAGCTCATCGCGATATCAGCACTGGAAATGTTCTCTTTATGGAGGACACTACTGGAAGCAATTCCTCAATTGGATTTTTGGTCGACTGGGACTGTGCCGAGTTCACGCCAGACGGGGTCGAAAAATTCAACCAGTTTGTAAAACCTGGTTCCAATCGCCGACCAGCAGACGAGACCAGGGTAATCGGGAATTTACGAAGCTATGTGGTAACTGCCTTCACCCTTCTGTTCTTCAAACAAGGCACTAAATCACTTGGTATCAGGGCACGCCTGCATTCATGGCAGTCACTAAATCTCACAGCCAGCATTACGGCGCAGGTACCACCCACCGCCTGGCCCATGACCTGGAATCTCTTTACTGGCTTCTTATCTGGCTCATTCTCCGCTACACCGACCATAAGCATCCATATCAACGCCACGCCTCCGATTTCTTCGACGAAAAGGAGGGCAAAGAGCACTGGCTGTACGATTACCGCCTTCTGCTGGCCAGCGACATATCGCCACTTCATCAGTTGTTCTCAGATCTCGCAAAGGCTGTTGCACGACAAGCCTTCGCTTTCGAATCGCATTACCCAGAACTGCATAATATCGATTACGAGCAATGGTGCGCCATGCTCCAAGATGCTCTTGGATCAGACGGGTGGCCAGCGGACGACGCATCAAATCCTTACCGGGCGGCTGCTCAGTCTCGTCTGGAGCAGCTTGCAGCTAGCTAGGCGCCAGGCAGAAGCAATATGCCTGCGGGAGAATGAGGGGCAACCTCTCAAGCGTGGTTTGGCCCAAACCGCAGATAACGACGATGAAGAGGCAAGGCCCCGCAAGAAGCGAAACTGTGCATCTTCATAGTTTGCGCCAATCTAGTCTTTAAGTTGCTAAAACTTTGGGTAGTAATTTCTTTGTCCTATCTACCAACATTCTGTACATTAATATGACGCTGTGTAGATATTGCGGTCTCACATCTGCTTCATTTTCGAGGAGGGCTTGGAAAATGTCCGATTGCCGCGAGCCTGTTCGTTATCCTTGTCGAAATGCATCCAGTTGCATTCGGAATTTGTCTTCCTCCTCGTCAGTGACATCGAAGTCAGCAACACAAGGATCGTCATCTGGCTGTCTCGTTGGTTATGAGAGGCGACCAGATATAACGAAGTCTATACGCGGAGAAGCATCGTCCGTCCAGGTCCGTCCATCCCGACATCTCTGCAAGAAAAAGATGGAAGGTGTGACATAAGAGCCAAACCACCCAAAGCAATACACCAATATAGGATAAAGATACTCTACTTATAGCCCTCTCAGCCTCCTATCATACTCCTTGAGTAACAGTCTATCCACCCAACCGCCCTCTGGGAACGGTTTGTCCCACTGGTTATGCAGATGAATCCCGAATATTTTTCTGATCGCTCCGTGGAGCTTCCCGTCCTCCTGCATGGCGCCATTCCACATGCCCATTCGATTGCCGGAGGAGCTGTCGGGAACAAACGGGTCTGGAAGGCGGTTGTCGAGTCGACATGACCGCGCGTCGCTGAAGCAGAATGGGAGGACTTTGAACGGGGGTATACCGCCAGCGAGCAGCGCGCGATACATTTTTAGGTAAAGCAAAGAGCCCCAGTCCGTGCTGCCTGGTCGGGGCGCGTCGTCGGTGCCCATAATGTGGAATGCTTCACACAAATAGGGCGAGTGTTTTTTGAAGCGCATTAATGCGCCGTTAAGTGGTTGGTACAGTTTGTCTGTTTGAGGGTTAATAATAGAGCTAGGAATCCAAAGCACAAAACGCACCGTAACAATCCCATTGTGTTACAAACTCATGCTCCAACAGCGGGTCCAAGTCTCGCGTTAACAACGAATCCATGTCAACCCAAACACCCCCATAGTTCCACAGCAGGAGGAGTCGAATGAGATCTCCGTCAATCCAGGCTTTCTTGTCTTTCGAGACCAAAAGCTGGCTTCCTTCAAGAAATGTGCCCCTCGCCAACGACGAAATGTCGACAATACGAAGCGCAAACGAGTCGGGGTATTGGTTGAGGTACTTTGTGAGAATGTCGTTCGGCCCTAGTTCACCATTGGACCATAATATTAGACGGGAGGTGGGGAGATGCTGGGTAGCGAAGAAAGATTTCAGCATCCACTCTTGTCTTGGTCCGAAAACAGCGAGATCGTTCCTCCAGTACGTGTGGTATTGTGTCCGCTCATCCGGGGGTATATGGTTCGCCGACCGGCGCGGCGCTGGCTGAATGGTTCCCGCCAAGTTGTAGCAGTCTTCGCCGAAACGTAAAGACATGCCCGCTTGCACCTCTGTCCTCCGTGGGCCATAAAGACCATCCGTAAGGTTGTAAGTTGAGTGTACCCTGTTTTCGTTGAAGCAGCCGGAGAGCTTGGGTACAGGGAATATCTGCTTCTGGGTCCACGTTCGTGAGTAGAATGCGAGCTCGACGTGTGGTTCATATAGGTAGAAGCCGAGAAGAAAAAGGAGGAGGGATGAGGGAAGGGCAAACTTGAGGACATTCCATATTCGGCCTTTGAAGTAGGACGTGTATTGCGACGGATGTGTCCGTGACCTGGGACGGGTTTGTGGTAAGGTTATGGTATCATCCGACGGAAAATTGAAGTGGAGCACTCGCTGTGAGTGTCTATGACGGGAGGAGGAAGAGTCTGAAGACGCGTACATAGGTAGTCGCTCATAGCTGCCCCGACTCATCGCAAGACCGTAGACGGTGAGGTGAACGCGGTGAAGGACAAGTGGTGGTGATCATGTGACTCCATATCAGCTTGGCCACCAACCACAACTTTGACATGTACACTTACTCTGAGCGCTGAGCGCTGACTCGTGCCGCAAGCATTCACGTTGGCGTTGAAGCTTGAGCCGATAGCGGGGAAAGAGCCATCTTTCAAACTCCCCGTCTCATCAACGCAATATCGCATCAACAACTGGTCCTCGAGACCTGTTCGGTCTTTTGTCGTGACAGTCGTTCCAATTCAGATGCTCCGTCGGGCCCAGGATAAATGAATCAAGTCTTGTGTGAGTTTGGGCCGCTATCTCTGTTAGAATAATCTGGCAACTCTGACCTGGTCAATATCCTAGCTGAGATTCAAGCAAAATTACCCCGCAACAACGCTTGCAAATAAAATTTACCATCCTCCTCTCCAGCTCGCCCATGACCTCATCTAACTTGGCTGGCTGAGCCCGGGCCGCGGCCCGTCCTGCCCCGCACGTGGACTCTAACTCATCCTGCATTTTTCTCCAGATTTTATCCCAATGGTCATGCGTTGCCCACACGACCCCACGAACGGGCTTTAAATGGTGCTCTCCACAATGGCTATACTCTATCCTTCCCGCCATGATCTGGCTCCGAACACTTTCTGCAGTTCTCTCCTTCGCAATTCCGCTGGTCCATGCCGTCGTTGGGCCCGGAAAAGTAACGGGAAATACTGCGGTCCACGATCCGTCGATGTGCAAGTCCGCGAATGGGACTTATTTCGTCTTTTGTTTGTTCTTTAATGTGGGCGAATGTGCTTGACTGATTTTGCACTTTAGCAACTGGCGTTGGTATAGAAATCCGCACGTCACAGGACAGAACTGCATGGACGCTTATTGGCTCTGTTTGGCCAAACGGCGTTGATACCTGGACCAACGCATATACAGGAGTCAGCAACGGGTAAGTGGTAATTTTAGACGCTTGGATATATATATAACACCACAAACAGGGTTCTTTGGGCTCCCGACTGTACAGTATGTTGAAGCACTACCGCTAACCTTGTGGCTAACGATTAACAGGTCGTTGGAAACACATTCTATCTCTACTACGCTGCAGTAAGTAAAATTTCCACCTCTCTTCGAGTGCTCAACCTATCCATCAAAACAGTCGACATTCGGCTCACAAAAGTCGGCCATCTTCTTCGCCAAATCTTCTACTGGTCTGCCGGGTAGCTGGACAAATGAGGGACTCGTTACAAGCACCAGCAGTGGTGCAAATTACAATGTGAGCCAAAACCAGGGTTTCAATATTCCGGTCTTATAATCTTCCAGGCCATCGATCCAAAGTATGTTGATTGGAGCGAATTATTAGGTGGTTCCTCACAATCGACAGCCTCCTCATCGATGGCAGCAATTGGTACCTCTCCTTGGGTAGTTTCTGGACCGGTATAAAGTCGCAAACGTTTGTCTTTTTCCAGTTCTTTCATCCACGATGATTGACAACGTATTTAGTCTCAGCTCAAGCACTGGCAAGCCCTCCTCCAGCGCAGTAACTTCCCTCGCTACCCGCACCGCAAACAACGGCGCCATCGAAGCCAGCGCCGTTTACAAATTCGGCTCTTTCTACTACCTGTTCACCTCTTGGGACAACTGCTGCCAGGGAACTTCGAGCACATATAACATCCGTGTTGGACGGTCATCTAGCCCAACTGGCGGATTTGTTGACCAGGCAGGTGTTTCGCTCCTCAACGGTGGTGGTACCTTGGTTCTCGGATCCCATGACAGCGTAAGAAAATGTTTCTGCTCTGCCTCTGCTCATCGTATGTTGACTGCCTGGAATCAGATAATCGGACCCGGCGGTCAAGATATCATGACGGACAGCGACGGACCTATTCTCGTTTACCGTGCGCAAACTAAATGGCCTTCATCCTATCGCACCCTGATTCTCCTAGATTATTATACCTCTTCTGGCTCGTTCCTTGGAATCAACAAACTCTCGTTTGATTCTGGCTGGCCGGTAAGTTCTCAATTCATATCCTCAGCTTTTCTACTCACAACAGGGGCTTAGGTTGTAGTATGAGTGCATGATCCTACAAACGCATGCGAACGCGTTGTAGTAGGATGTCGGGATACAAAAATGTACAGAAAATTAGTTTTGCAATACGGAATCCTTCTTCGATCACGTCAGAGAGTTATTCAAAGAGAGATTTTTTCTCTCTCTGACGAGAGTCGCCTGGTGTGACAGCTGACTTTCCCTCTCATTCCCAACCGCCATGCATCACTCTATACGTGGACCAACTCGAAAGCTTTTCACCCTATTTTGAACTTGACAAACCTTCCGGCGGCCTCCCGAATATGGACGCTGCTGAGTCTTTCTATCCCAACCTGAACCCACGGCCGCATGCTTCCACAGCAAACTCCATGTGCCACCTCGTCTGGACAAGACCGTTGTTTGGATAGAAGGTCTCCAACTTTCAACTAAAACGTCCGGGCCGAGGCGTGTACTTCATCGACGAGTGGGAAAACTGTTCGAGGGGAATGTTGGTATGAGGGCCGAAATCTTGGAAACCACTCTTCTTTGATGTTCCTTCACAGCTAAAGGCTAATCGGTCTACCGGCCCTCGTATTTCAGAGCCTGCCGACCATGCTCCGTTCTATTTCTACTCGTAGCTGCATGCATGAACACAAAGTTGGCATGCTTTCTCTGTCACCTGTGTTTTTTGGTGCTCTTTTTTCACACCTTATCGTTCCTTCCTCGCTTTCTTGAACACTTGCGGCCAGCTCAACGACAGTATAAATTCAAGGCGCGAAGGAACTGCAACCTCTATCGTCAATCGTACGAGCACAGCAGCCATATGGTCGGGGGACTTTTCTTCGTTTCGCTCCTCGCAACGCTTGTGGCTGCATCACCCGCGCCACGGTCAAACTTCAAGGTTCACGAGCGCCGTGAAACTGTCCCGCGAAGTTTTTCCCGGGTGGGTCCCGCTCCTGCCGCGACGACAATCAAGCTCCGATTTGGGCTGTTCAGCAATAACTTCCCCGGTAATATTACTCGAATTGTTTTGCCTGTGGCTTACACCAACACAGGTCTCGAGGACACTCTTTTTGCTGTATCAACTCCGGGATCGGCACGCTATGGACAACATCTTACCCTTGAACAAGCCAAAGCCTTCATGGAGCCGACAGAGGACTCTTTGAGTGCTGTCACATCCTGGCTAGACGCCCATGGCCTTACTGCCACCGTTGCTTCTCCTTACGGAGAATGGCTCACGGTGGAGGTGCCGGTCTCCAAAGCGAACGAAATGCTCAATGCCAACTTCGAAACGTTTACCCACATCGACAGCGGCTTGCAGATCATCCGAACGATGGAATTCTCCCTTCCTGAAGACCTCCACGCGCATATCGAAGCTGTTCATCCCACTACTGCGTCAGTTAATCGTCGATTTTGTGTTCCGTTGTGTTGATCGACTGCATAATAGCTTTGGACGCCCTCTTGGAGCCGGTCGCGGACCTGTAATAACCGCATCCTCTGCCAATCGCGCCCCAGTAAACGAGACTCTTGTGTCTAATGCTGTTCCAGCTTCATGTGCGACGACGGTTAGTTGTTTTGCCTTCTCCTTTCTTTTCGGCTTGATCATTTCCATTTCATAGGTTACTCCTGCCTGTCTTCAAGCTATGTACGGAATCCCAAGTACTTTGGCCACCCAGTCAAGCAACTCGATTGCTGTTGCAGGTAAATTCATTTCTAAAGATCCAACCATTTGTCTGAAGATTTCAAGGCTTCATTCAGCAGTTTGCACAAACCGCGGACCTGACTGCTTTCCTCAAGAGGTGACATAGCACAACCATGATGGTCGGGGTTCTTACTGTACAAACAGATTCCGCACCGATCTCCCTTCTACAACCACCTTTGCTCTCCGTACCTTCGATGCTGGCAAGAACACGCAAGGCGCTTCGCAAGCAGGTATCGAAGCCAATCTCGGTATGTCTATAACTTGGAATCCGCTCGCTCTAATCTGTTCCAGACATCGAATACACCGTGGGTATTGCTAGTGGTGTTCCAATCACCTTCGTCAGCGGTGGCAACTCCTTCCAGGATGGTGCCCTGGAGGTTTGTTCCTTTCGGCTCCACTCGTGATCATTGACGGAGTCGACCTAGGGTTTCTTGGACATCATCAACAACCTCAGTCAACTGGCCACTGTCCCGCAAGTCCTCACGACTTCGTATGGAGAAGACGAGCCCGACCAGACTGCCGCTACCTTCCAGTAATTATCACTCATTGACAAGATTATTTGGATCCTGATTCTTGCCTAAAGGAAGCTCTGCAATGCTTATGCAGCTTATGGTACCCGAGGCGGAAGTATCCTCTTCGCTTCAGGTAAGGCCTAAGTATATGTGTTGAATTTTGCTGACTCTGAATTTCTGTGTTTAGGCGACGGTGGTGTTGCTGGTGGACAATCCCAGGTGCTTCGAATTCCTTTTGTTATACCGACCACGATATTGATTGCGAGCAGTCTTGCACGACATTCATTCCAGCCTTCCCTAGTGGATGTCCTTTCATGACCAGGCAGGTCTCCGTGCCTATTTATAAGATTTTAATTAATATTAAAACAGTGTCGGTGCTGTCTCCGGAATCCCACCCTCCGAAACAGCTGCATCATTCTCTTCCGGCGGCTTCTCGCGCGTCTTCACACAACCATCATACCAGACAACCGCTGTACAGGCATACCTTTCTGCTCTGGGCAATACCAATGCTGGCAAATTCACCCCCACTGGGCGTGCCTTCCCGGATGTGGCCGCACAAGGAGGTGTGTTAAACTCTCTGTCCCGATTCCATGTTTATAAATGCTGGACCAGTCGACTTCGACATCATCAGCGGTGGTACCTTGGAAGGCGTTTCGGGAACTTCCTGCAGCTCGTAAGCCACAACATACGCAAGAAAGTAGCGGAAAGTAATAATCGCGACAGACCTTCGTTTGCGAGTGTGGTCGGCCTTATCAACGACCGCCTCATCGCTGCGGGCAAATCCCCATTGGGTTTCTTGAACCCCTTGTAAGCAGTCCGTCGGCTTCCTCCACGTATTGTTACTGATTTCCGATAGCTTCTACGCGAACCCCGGTATGTTTAACGATGTTACACTGTGAGCACCCCTTGTGCTTGTCGATTTTCGCTAAAAAGTATATAGCGGCCACAACACAGGCTGCAACACGAACGGCTTCGCTGCCCGCGCTGGATGGGACCCAGTCACGGTACACTAGTCGCCTCTCTGTTTTTTCCAGTATATTCACCAATGTGTTTAGGGCTTGGGGACACCCAACTTCGCCAACATGCTCGCAGCCGCTCTGGCTGCATGACTAGGTCATTTGTAGTATCAGTCACGAGCCAATGAATACGATTTCACAAGACAACTCGAATGGCAGTCAGACTCTAATAGAATCTCAGTCATCTCTATTCCACAAAGGGAGTGGATATACATTATGCTGTCTTGGTTCGTTATGCCTCCCCGCCAAGCTCCTCCTCCTCCGCAATTAGACGCTCAACCTCGAGCGCAGCCATGCAACCGCTCCCCGCACTGGTAATGGCTTGTCGATATCGTTTGTCTTGAACGTCACCGGCAGCAAAGACGCCCTTTACTGAAGTTTGTGTGGTACCAGGAACGGTGATGATATAGCCATCGGGGTCGGTTTGCAGTTGATTGCGGACTAGACTTGTTGCGGGCTCGTGTCCTGGGGTTCAGTTAGAGAAAAAAACTATGCAAGATGTTGGCGCACCAATAGCGTAGAAGAGGCCATTGACGGGCAAGTCTTTCTCTTCACCCGTCTGAACATTCTTGATGCGTAAACCTTGGAGAAGATCACCATCGCCGACACACTCGGTCGCTACAGTATTCCACAAAACGGTCTGACAAACGTCTTGGCCAATGTACGATGGCGGATGAAACCACTCACGATCTTCGGGTTGTTAAGCAACCGCTTGGCCATGATCTTGGAGGCCCGCAGCTCTCCACGCCGAACGAGCACGTAGACATGAGAGCCATATTTAGTCAAATCTAAGTGGATATCAGCCGTGGGTAGAAGAAGAAGAAGATTGGTTGCGGACATGTGGCTTCTTCTGCTGCAGAATCGCCGCCACCAATGACAGCAAGTGGTTTGTTTCTGGTGATGTCAGTGGAAGCATCCCGAGAATAGTTAATGCGTACCTGAAGATAGGCACCGCACCATCGCAGACAGCGCAAGCACTGATGCCGCTCTGCCAATAGGTGTCCTCTCCCTTCAAGCCCATTCGCTTTGCACTCGCACCAGTCGCGATGATAACGGTATCAGCGGTCTCGGGCTCTTCCTCCTCCTGCATCTCACGCCAGTACCGGAATGGGCGCGCAGATAAGTCGATTTTCGACACCGTCTCGGTGATGATGACTGTCCCAAACCGCACTGACTGCTCGCGGAATTTGTCCATAAGCTCTGGCCCCATTATGCCCGAGGGAAATCCAGGAAAGTTCTCGACTAAATAGCTTAGCATCGCCTGACTCTTGAGTGAGAAAGCGACACACCATCGGTCGTCGTCGTGAGCTGTCCACCGGCAGCGAATCCATTGGCCATAAAACCCTCAAACAATACCGGATTCAGGTTCGCTCGTGCGAGGTAGATCGCCGCCGTATGGCCCGCAGGTCCAGAACCGATGATGATAACCTGGGAATTTCGGCTTTCTGGCTCAGAAGAACGATATGAGGCGCACCTTGGAGTGCATTTTGGAGCTCTTGGCGACGGTGGCCATACTGGATTGCTTGTTTTTCGAACCAGGCGGGACGAGGAAGGCGGCGGCGGCGAGGGGCCGGGGGAGACGACGGAAGAACGTGTTGGTGAGCAGCTGAAATATTTATCGGTCACATGCGATCAGTCAGACTGAGTAAGCAGGCTCACTCAAGTTCTTTACCATGTCCACCAGCGCCGTGTTCTGCCGCGCCCTTTATGACTATGTACCTCCCCCCGACGCCAGCCCACAACTTTCTTTCCGCACAAATGACGTGATTGAGGCGAATCATGAGCATCTCTGACGAATCTCACTGTGACGCTCAACTCAAGCAGGTGCTGGACCAACGACCCTCAGGCTGGTGGGATGGGCTCCTAGTGCTAAGAAACGAACGCGGCTGGTTTCCCTCAAACTACTGCTTGATCATTTCCGAGGACGAAGCGCAGCGTCTATTGGCCAACCCACTGGCGGTGACACAAAGCGGGAGTACTTAGCGATACGAAGCACAGATATCGTCTACGAGCGAGCTGATGCTGCATAGTATGATACCTTCGAGTCAACATACTTCTTTGAATCTAACGAGTATCATCGTACTTTCGCTGGCGGTTCGCTTCACTGAGATGGTCTATTATGCTTGATGGTCATGCTCACACCCGTCGGTTATCCTTCTTCAGCCCCCGCATAGCTTTTCGCGTCTGGTTCAGTACGTCCAAGCCTGTTTACTTCCTGGTTTACAAGTACTGAAAGTTACGAGTGCTCGTCACTAGCATCCTGTTTGTTCATGACACATTCACGAACTGGGACAAGAAGCTATACAGTCGCTGCCGAATGCCAGCAAAATCAACGAAGAGCACAAGTTTTCCGACAATTATCGTCGATATTAGTGGGAGATATTGAAGAAGATGGATTTCGAACTACTCACTTTACCACCGTTCGAAGCACTCGCAAATCCAAGCACAGACCGCGGTCTTCAATGCGGCATGTGCATTTGTCTCTTTTGCAGACCCAATATCGTGGCGGTAGTGGACTCCCTACGAGAAAATCGGCATGTGCATGACATTGCATGTTAGATTCGCGGCGGGATTGTGCGCCTGAAGCCGGGATATTGACAATGTTGGTACTATCTTTTGCGGCTCCAATCTTTCGGTTGTCATCTATTGGATATTGTTTTCCTGACGAGACTCTGGGCAGCGCCTCGCAGTCAAGACTTGAAGTGAATATTCAAACGAAGAAATAGACCGTCGTGACGGCGTCGTCTGTAGCTGCAAAAAAGACAATGATGCGCGTGACCGTGAGTCATTCAATTTGGTTCTCTTCAAGTTCTTTGATGTCGAGCGCAGACCACCCTGCCAAACGTCCAAGACTGGCCGACGACGACTCGAATATCCCCACACCCGCGATATCTAGATCACAAGAATTCTGGTTCAATGATGGGAGTGTGATTCTTCAGGTCGAAAATACTCAATTTCGGGTGGCGCAGAGTCTTCTTGCGATGCATTCAAGCGTCTTCCGCGACATGTTCACGATTCCACTACCGCCAGAGGAGCCGCTCGTGGAGGGGTGCCCCGTTGTCGTGTTATCTGGTGATAAGGCGGTTGATTGGTCTCATCTTCTTCGCGCAGTGTATCCGTCGAGGTGCGAGTGCACAATTGCACAAGCTTACTTCAACTGACTGTTGCATATACTCCTCTCAATACAGCTTCTTCTCTCCAGACAAAAAAGACATCCATGCCTTTGCCGCAGTCTTTCGCCTCAGCAAGAAATATGATTTTACCGTCTTCCGTCGCGAATGTCTCCAATGCTTCAAAGCAGAATTTCCTACGACGCTCGAAGAGTACGACGACAGTCCAAACAAGCATCAGTGGAAATGGACTCTCTCAACAAGCGACCTGCTCAGTATTCTGTGCATCAATCTTGCCCGCGAGCTAGGCATCTTTTCGGTGCTTCCGGTGGCGTTTTATCAACTCAATTGGTCGAGCGTTGGTGGCATTGGTCTTAACATACGAACTTGGGAAGCTAACAACGATGGATGCAGGTTCTTGATTGGGATATTGTCGAAGTGTCCCAGACAGCACGTCTGTCTCCAACTGATGAGCGCTTGTTCCTCAGGAGTCAACTCCGGCTTCTCAGGCTTCAATCATCGACGACTATGAAATGGCTTAGTCCTCAAGAGTCGACTATACCGCAGGAGCTTTGCGAGCAGCGGGATATTTGCATTCATGCTTTGGAAAATATTGCTAAGCAACGTCGTGAGGATCTCGAGATGGAGGCCTTTGTGCTGGACGATTGGAACACGAGCTGGGGTGAGAAGCTATGTAGTCTCTGCAAGATGACGGCAAAATCAACGTTCGCAGAGGGAAGAAGACAAATTTTCCGACAATTGCCATCGATATATGAGCTGCCAGATTGGGAGGTATTGAAGAAGATGGATTTCGAATGATGTCTACTCCTGTCACGGTTTGCCTACTTTACCATCTTCGAATACATGCGGACCCTTTGGCAACTCCTCTGCCCCCACTGCGTCTTTCGTGGGCTGATCCAAGCTCGGCTCTGACTTGTACTCCCATTCTAATGTCCCGCCATATTGCTTTGGCAGATTCTCCGCGTCTATCAGTTTCAAAAGGTCCTCCCCCGGGTTTTTGCCCAAAATGTGTATCTTGTTCCTCGTCCCCGGATCAAACCAGCCCTTTATCCAGCCCCAAATGGTGGGGAAGAACGACGGTGCATTTATAATGGCAATGGTGCTTAGCGTCTCGGGGTAGTTTGCTGTCGCGAGCTTGGCCGACTCGGAAAGATGTGAGCGCAGTGTCCACATGGAGCCGATGGAAACGCCTTCGAGGTCGATGATAGTCATGACGCAGGTTATTGGCGTTGAAGTTGAGTGTGGCAGGTGGGTGCATAGCGGAAGGGAGAAGCGCAACATGTATTCGTATAGTGCGATGCTGAAAAACGTCAACTTGCAGTCGAGAGTCATGGAGTGTCGCACATTCGTTGGAATCTCCGCTCGGGTGGTACTGCATGAAGCTCTTTTTGGAGTGCCGAGTCTAACGATGCGATACGGTAGACGTATATTGGCATTCCGTTCTAGATAACAGTTCAGTTCAGTCTTTGGAAAGCCTACAACACACCTTGTCCCTTCTCCCCGTCCATCGGGGATAAAACCTTCGGGTATTCTCCAGCTCATCCGCATCGAATGTCACGTACAAGTTGTCCACGTCGTTTTTCTGCCTCCACTCCATAGAGTCGGAGTACTGCTTTAGTGCCGCAGGCGGGTCCCAGCTCCGGGCGCGTAGAAACCGTCTACGACATCAGGAAAGCTCATTGGCCATGAAACAAGCACAAACAAGAGGGTGGGGTCATCGAGCCGTCCGGGATTCTCTGGGTCATAGAATTTGGCGTCCTCAAGCAGTTTCTTGAAAGAGACAAGCGCAGCTTCCTGGGAGGCGGAGAGCTGCCCATAGTGACCTGCAAAGATGTTGAAGTCGGCGTCGACCATGTTGGCCGCGATGGTCTAGATTATAACGAGGCGAGCGTGGGGAGAGAAGAAAAGAAGGTCCGCGAGCTGGCTGGGACTGGGTGAAGCGTGGTCATCATGATCTCGTGTCCAGGCGAGATTGCGGCAATCAAGGGATTTGCGGAACTGATAATCCAGCACGTGCTCAGTTACAACACTCACAACAACCACGAAGCGACGCGCCAAACCATGAACACTACAGGCGAACCACCGCAGCAACAAGAGGACGGCGACTTTTGCCCTTGAAGGACCTTCCCACTGCCTTTTTGCAACACTTCCTGTGCGGGTACCGCCCTCTTTTTAAAAAATGAGCGGAGTGATTCATCGCTGACAGACTTCCAACAATGGTAGGTCAATTACTCTAAACAACTTCTTACTGCGCAAGATTGACCGCTCACCGCCTCGATAGTCAGCATTGCCCTGCGTTGTGCTTTGCTCTCGCACGACTGCGTTATAGAACCGACCGGTTGATTCAAGTTGCTCGGGGGCGGCATATATGTGTACAGGAGAAAATAAACGCGCTGTGGCCTATCCACTGGAGGCATGAATACCCGGGGTGCCACAACCAGAGCCGACCCTGCAAGTCGGATAACGCAAGAGGCTGTGGATCAAAAGCTTCATTACATTCCTCGTCCCGTTAGGACATAACTTGACTCTTGGATTGTTGGGCTGAACTCCCCTTGTTTCATCGGGAATGGAACCACTAAGGACGACTCCGAAAATTGGGGGTCGACGGCGTTTATCTCATCGCATTGCAAATCCCTTCCGCGATTGTACTCCATATCTGCAAGTTTATCGGGCCAGCAAGCTCGAATAGCCTCTCCGAGATCACCCTGCACTCTTGATTTCCCTCTTCCTGCCGCCTCGCGCTCGCGAAAGTACAGGCTTTTCTCACCGACTTACCCGTGTCGACGCCCATGCATCATGGCTAAAAACAACCCACCGACGTTAAAAAAGCCTTGAAAAATCACAGACACTCAACGCGATCGTCGAACTTGAACCATGAACCCACTCGCCCAAGGCTGGAACAATGCCAATGCGTCCACCCAACCGACATATGGAGTGCTTCCTGGGCCTGGCTACTCCCAGCCCGCGACGACGCTCGCGAACCCGCCTGAGCTCGTCCGCTTTGTCTTTACGCCGTCCGGCCCCGACGGCACCATCCACAACTCTGTCGTGACCCGGATCAGCGCCGGTCCGACCGAGCCGGTATTCCGCATCACCACCAACTCAACAACGCATGGATATTCCGTCGTGCAGAGCGGCGCCTACGAGAAGTGCGCGTATGTCGAGTGGCTGGCACAGGCAACCCCGATGGTAGAGGTGTACGGTATTGTTTCGAAGCGGACCACGGCGGCATGGCTGGCGCTCTCGTCAAGAAAGAGGTGAGCGGTCATTTCCTGGCCGCGTGTGGCCTAACCAGGACCTCTCGCATCAGCTATCGTCGCATGAGCGCGCGCCATTACACGTTCCGCTGGGTTCCCGATGAAAGTAACATCAACGTAAGTTCCCGTTGCGCCTGTTATGCTCGAATTCATGGAAAGCAGTTATCCAGCGACTCGGCCTCAAATCCCCGCTTTTACGGACGTATTTCGCGCGCACATGGTGTAACGGCGGTAGAACTTACCCCCGAGGCATTGCAGCTGGGTCTCTTGGAGGTCGCAGTGGTCGCCGCGCTGGTGATTTTGTCCGGAAGAAATATAGATTGATAGCACTGAAGCTTCTATAAATGGTAACAGCTGCGTAGCTCGTCTTGTTCACACCAGACTTGTAACGATCTGTAACGATGCACGGCCGCCAAGTAAAGACAGTTTTGTCGTGTTCAGACATGTGCCATATACTTTTCCCGACTCTTGAAGCCGAGTTTGAGTACTCATGTTTCCACGTGGACACCGTAAAGTCATCGCAGAAGTACCTTTCAAACTCGAGATTTTCGTCATGATGTCACGAGAAGGGATGATCCTTGGATGATCCATCTGATGGAGATCGGCGTCGAAGCAACTCAACCACAAACCTCCATCTGCTCACTTCCTTTTGCGCGCCTCGTCCAACACCGCTGCACAAATCATCAGACAGCGGACATCGCGCCTGCACAGCCCATATGGATGATTTCTACGCGAGCGCCGGAGACTGTTGGATATTCCGACATGGGTCATCGACTCATCGTTGGTTGAGCCATTCGACAGTCTACTGCTCCCTGAGATGGCTGGAGACGTCCATTCGCGCTTTCTCTGGAGTATAAATAGCCTTGCTCCCAGGTTTTGTGACACCTATACTTCAATTCCGCGATCACGGGACACCACCAACATGTGCTGGACTGAACTCGGCGCGGAATCGAACCTGATGCACCACCATCTAGCTTGTGTATCGTTGTCTTGGTGCTTGATGCTCGATCCGAAGACTCGCTGGGTCTGAATACTAACCGCGGGCGCAGAACAAACGGCATGCATATGCTGTTCTGTTTCACCGCGCACTTCGGCCATCGTTTCCGTTGGCTATAAGACCTTCGGTTGACTAGCTGACATTTCCCATCCGCCCCCCTTCCCTCGTTCCTCATGAAGGTCACTCTTGCCTACGTCCTCGCCGCTGTTGTGGCTTCAGTAGCCGCTGCCCCTGCGGAAGTCGTGGAGGAGAAACGCAGTGGTCCCGGCAAACGTGGCTTGGTCTGGCCATGGTACAACTCACCCCTCAACCCCGGCCGATTCAACGACGGCAGTGGTTCGGTCAACCTTATGTATGTTCAGCTGTTTTGCTGAATGCGTAAATCACTAAGCTGGCGCACAAGCTACGACTACGAGTCCTACAACCCTCCGTCATCCAACGGCAATGGAGGGCTCAACTTCATCGGAATGCAGCGGTGCATGGACTGCGACTCTTCCCCGATTAACCAGCTCGCGGCCCGCCAATCCCAATCCAGATTCGCCACCCTCTTCACCCTCAACGAGCCTGACCTCAACGGAATCAGCCCCCAGACCGCAGCGGCATGGTACAAGCAATATATCAATCCTTTCGTATGTCGCATCCATTCCTTTACACTATTTTCCTTAGAAAGCTCCTGTAGACTATCAAGAAGTCATTGCCTGCTGTCAGCTCGTCTTCAAGCGGGGGCCAAGGCCTTGACTGGGTGCGGCAAATGATTGCTGCCTGCGCCGGCCAGTGTTATTACGACTACATCAACATTGTAGGCTCTCCTCTTGTTTTCCATCGCCTCTAACTTAGATTCTTTAGCATCACTACGGCCCGAACCTGCAAACCTTCATCGACTACGTCAACCGGGCGCACTCCATGTTCCCCGACAAGCAGATTGTCGTCACTGAATTCGCCCTGCAGAACCCGCCAGGCGGCCAGGCGGACCAGGTGAACTTCTTCCGCGAGGCGTTCAAATTCCTTGACGGCGCGTCGTTCGTCGCTATGTACTTCCCCTTCGTCGCCACCTCGCCCTCGCTCTTCTCCCGCAATGACCCGAACGGCTCCCGCTTCGTCGGCACTGGCTCAACGTTGTACAACGACGACGGATCGATCAGCGCCGTGGGACGGCTGATGCTGGCTTAACTTGAACACTTGCTCTGGAATGGACTCGGAATGGAAAAATACTGGTACTACACAAGTAACGTTACACACAGCAATATTTATAGCTATAGTTCGCGAAGCATACTAGTAAGGTGTCTGCAGTGCAAAAAGAATGCGGTAACATCACAAAATTCGTCGGTTTGTTGTCACACCTTTTGATGGGAGCAAACGCTTACAAGCCCCATACAAGGCTCTTATAAACCACAGCTTCCCTTAGCCTGGGTTGTCAGGCACTTATAAGTGCATCAAAAGACTTCTTTCGTTATTGTAATCTATTTTCACCACTGTAAACAATTGCTACACGGTATTTTTCTTGTCTAATCAAGAAAGAGTTTCAAGTGTCGGCTATGATGATGATTAAAATTCTACAAAACATAACCTTTGGATCGGTAAAATGCCTCCAAGTCCATGCCATCCATCTTCGTAAGTGCTTGGTTCAAACCACGATCTCCCGTACCCTCAGGCCATCGCACGAGCCTTGGCAATAGTGTCCAATTCGTCGAAGAACATGACACACGGGGCAGCAGCGCGGGCCTCGTTGAAAACGTCCTGGACATTGGCTTCCGATTCTCCTAACCAGTCATCGTGAGCAGCTCGGGTCCCTTGATTGAGATGAAGTCGGCATTGCAGTACCGGGAGGCCATAGGACAAGACACCCTCGAATGGAGACAAGCCGTGCTTGACGAACTTCTCTGGATGTTCGACGGGGGCATTGAACCAGCTCGAGCTTGACTTTTCCGAGGCCACCAATTTCGTCCCATTTGACGGTCGGTACTTCGACAACAGTTTCCCGCAAAGCAGTTGGATTTGAAATGCCCAATGCGAAGCGGAAGTTGTCCATCGTCACTCCCAGCGAATCGAGAACCTCAGCATCAATCGTGTCCCCATCAAGGTCAATGAGGTCCATCTTTTCACGGATTTGCTGCATCGCCTCTGAGCACAGCGATGCAACATCAGATCCAACGTAGCCGCGAGTATCAGCAGCAATCTGGATAGATGATCAAGATTAACAGTTGAACGAGAGGAAAAAAGCAGCCTACCTGTTCCAAGTCTACATCGTCCCCAAGCTTCATGTTCTTGGTGTGGATGCGGAGAATCTCGAGACGACCAGTAGGGTCGGGAATTCCAATGTCTACTTCGCGATCGAACCGTCCGAATCGACGAAGGGCGGGGTCAATGGAATTCGGTCGATTCGTGGCGGCCATGACCACAACGTTGGAATGAGCTTTCAGTCCATCCATAAGAGTTAGAAGTTGGGAAACCACACGGCGTTCCACTTCTCCGTTCGTCTGTGTACATTTTGAGTCCGAGTTGTGAGAAGAACTTGAAAAATGCGCACCTTTTCACGTTTAGGCGCAATCGAGTCGATTTCGTCGATGAAGATGATAGCCGGCGAGTTCTTCTCAGCCTCCTCAAACGCCTTTCGGAGATTGCTTTCGCTTTCTCCAGCCATCTTGCTCATGATTTCGGGGCCGTTAATCAGGAAGAAAAATGCACCAGTTTCGTTTGCCACAGCGCGGGCCATAAGCGTTTTGCCAGTACCGGGAGGACCGAACATGAGGATACCGCGGGGAGGCTTGATACCAATGGATTTGAAGAGTTGCGGGTGGCGAAGGAGTTCAACGAGTTCCCGTATTTGTGCCATCTGTTTGCGGCAACTGTCAATGTCGTCGTAACCGACATCCGCAAGGTTGGACTCCTCGTCAACCCTCTGATACCAAGAGTTAGCTTGCTAGAATAAGAGAGAAAGTAAGCCGACTGACCCGTATGAATAACGGTGTCTTGGGCAACAATGCAAAACTCAGCTGGATAACCTTGAACTCGACTGTGCGCATCCCTCCACGGACAAGGAAAGTATCGCCCTTTCGGACGGGGCGGTAAGCTGTATCCTTTATTAGTGAACCCCACAGAAAGTCAAGTCTCTGCGGTACCTTCGAGGAAATATGGTTTGAGGTAGACCTCGAAAATGTTGCCGCTCAAACCTTCGATAGAGTCATCGGAGGGGAGGATGTGAACGCGTTTGCCGTATTTGATGTCGAGGCAAGAGTGGACATTGACGAGGTCGCCTAACTTGACTCGCAAGTTGTTGCGAGCTACCTTGTTCATTTGGATACTGTACTCCGCTGTATAACTACAACGTAACGCATAACGCGCTATCCGTTCCGTTGTACTTGGTGCGTTACGCAACGCGTAACGCAAGAGCCGTTGTCGAAACCCAAGTGCGTTATGCATCTAGATTTAATCCAAATTTGGCCACGCCACGGTGTAATTTTTCAATTTTGCGCTGAATCAAGCTTCTTTTAAGGCTTCTGCGGCATCTAAACTCCCAAACGGTCCGGAATATGTGCTCAAAATAAAGGTTAACCGATACTCAGGTTGTGCTGTTGGGTCACCGTAACGCGCAACGCTCGACCCGTTGTCCCGTTTCAGGTGCGTTATGATCACGTGACGGTCGTAGTTATACAGAGGAGTCCAGTACGTCCCTCCTCAACTGCGTCGTTCGAGAGACAGATGAGGACAGTATCCCTCCGCTTCTTCCCGCTGCGATGACAAGCTAAGTACGCGTCTGAGTAATCGAATGGATTACTTACCGAACGATGACTGCGTCCCCACAAAAGAGACCAAGGGTCTCCATAGTCGCTGGATGAAGAGTGGCGACTAGGAAACAATGAGCGACAAGGGACAGCGCAGGATACTAAACATACCAGAGTTAACGTCACTCGCCGTTTTATCGACTAACAAGCGAGTCGGACTAAAATTCGGGTTAGCAATAAACGCGTGGAATGGAAAAAGTAAAACTTACAATTTCTTAGCCCTGAGAATGTCGGTATACATCATCTGGACCAGGTTGGAACCGCCGGTCCACCAAACGGGTCTACATCTTCAGCGAGAGAAATCATTGACTACTCTGAGCACCGTTTTCTTGGACATTGTTGACAATAGTTGCGCCAAACGTGATAGACGAGGATGAGCGGCCATAATGGAGGAAACGCGCTGAAGGGAGATCAGCAGTGTCGGGATGAATGAAAAGAGACATGCCACAGGTACAAGGACAAGTTTGCACGAATCGGAATGGCTATGGACCAGAGGGCAACGGCAAGTGTCTGTAGGCGACGTTTTCTGGGTATACGGGCAGGCACGAAGCTTGACGACAGGGTTGTGGAAGAAAATGGAGGGGGGGGCGACCTAAGTTGCAACTTCTGGAACGATAGGCGCGGTAGTAAGCATATCCAGCCTATCCTTAAGTAAATCGGCGGAGGGTGATCGCCAGGCGTTGAGGAGCCACTGCCAGCCCGCGGAAGAGACGCGGTGGTTGGAAAGAGGCGCGTCACGTGGCACGTGATGGCGAAGGCCAAGCAAACGGGAGTGCTGTCAAGATATAATGCAAAGATAATGAAATTCTACGAGCTAGGGAATATTGTGACTTAGAAATGGTTTGCATCTTAGTGAAAGCTCAAAAACCAACCCGACTTCGACAGGCTTCGTCACCGTATAGAAACTCCTCGTCCTCATCCTCCTCCTCTACATCCGACCCAGAGCTGGCATTATCCATGGTCCAGTCCGGATGCTCTTCTTGTTCATCATTGTCAGCATCGTCAAGAACAGGAACATCAAGGTCGTTGGCTTGATCACTAAATTCCTCCTCGACATGTCCTTCAGGCGGATCGGCAGCCTCTAGGTCTTGGTTTGACTCGTCAGTAGCCGCACGTTGGTATAAGAGATTGATCTTTCGATGGCCAATAGCGTTTCCGTGGTACCGCAGGAGCATATCACGGTCAACGACGCTGGAAAGACTGAGCAGAAGGCAAATAAACCAAGGCTGACTAACATGTTTTGCGTAGAAAAATTTCCAATCTTCATCATGTTCTGAAGGTGGTCGAGCGATAGATGTTGGAAGATAATCCTTGGTGCGTCCATGATGGAAGGCTGGAATAAGATGAGAACCTCGGAGAATATCGTGCGGGCTAAGGAAGCCGAAGGCGTCAGGACTTTCGCAGGGCATGTAACTTATACGCGGCAGTCTCTTCTGTTTGATTCCCCACCGATACGTCATATCCCGTTGCAACCATCGGACCCACAGAAACTCTAGCCGTTGAGCTCGACCAGGTCGGTCAGCCAGCAGGACTCGGGCGTGGAAGATACCCAGGACTTCACCATACCAGTAGCGATGCTGGTCCACTGGGTCTTGAGAATGAACAAGGAAAAACTTTGCGCGTCCGTGGGTTGAGAACGTCTTGGTCGCGCTTGAGATCATATGTCGTGTAATTGACTCTCATAGTTGCATGGGTGTAAAGCGCGTCCTTTTCGAGAACCACATTAATGAGCTCATCATCGGTAAATTGCAGATCGTCTCCGGTATACTCTAGATTCAGTAGTCGGCGGCGCAAGTGGGACTTGAGCTTCCGTGAGAAATCCTTTCACAAATTAGTAAACCACGAGCAGTGCCGGATAACACACTTACCTTGAGCGCAGGATCCATGGGGGGGAGGCGGAGGCGGAGGCGGAACATTCTGTAGATATGTTAGATGAATTGCTCGTCAAGCTTCAAACCTACTTGTATTCGTGGTCCATCCCCATCCCCATCCGAATCGCTGTCGGAGTCGCCAGTATCGACCAGGTCAGAGAGATATACGAAGGTGCGTGTAGAATCGGAGATGTAGTGATGTTGTTCCGGAGGAACGTAGGCTGCATATCGAGTAACTTGATTTGGGCGAAGAGATGAGAGAAGCCTTTGTCGTTTGTTGCTCTTTTGCTGAGAAGATGAAGCATTCTGAGCTCCCTCGGACGATGATCGGGCAAGTGTTCGCTGTTCAGCTTCTTTGTATCGTTTTTCGTCGCTCCCACATCGCTCGCATCATTCGTCGACGCCGTTCATGGTTTGCGATTTGTTGAGCATGGTCCCTCTTATTGGTACGCCGGTACAAATATTTGACAAGCCTATGCGCAACTTCGCCCTAAGAAAGATCAGACATTTCTTCAATCACCAAGAGTATGAATGCATACAATTTGAGTTGAAGTCGAGTCTGTGGTCCCATAACGAGCAATGGCATCAGGATAGTCGGGTATGGAATGAAGCTTGTAGGTGATTGGATTGAACGGTTTCTCCACTTTTTTCTTCTTCGGCTTGGTCTGCGTGACTGGGGCAGCTGTGGGCGGGGGGACTGGGTTTGAGACGGGGGTATTCGCAGCATCTGATGCAGAAACCTGCATCGTGGGGATTGTGGATGAGGCAGATGAACTGCCGGCATTCTTCCTTCTACCTTTTGACTTGGACTTGGACTTGGACTGCGACTTGGTGGCTGTGTCTGGAAGGAGATCGGTCGTGGTCCTAGGGCTATCTGCAGCAGTCGCGAGTGATGGATTGACAGTCTCAGTTGCCGAAGTCGAGGCCTTGGAAGCCTGTTTAAGCCGTCGGCGTTCTTCTCGGGGTAGCTCGTAGGTCTTCACATCTCGCGTCTCACGAGCAAACCGACGGATGGTGGTACAAAGGTCAGTGGTGGCGGTCCGAAAGAACTGGATTGAAGAAGTGGTATGCATGCGGAGTTTGGCATAACCGTGCCAGACTGCCAACTGGAAACAGAGCTGATCGACCAGTGCTTGGTGTTGTGGGAAAAGTCCCTCTAGGGTTGGAAGAATACACTATAGCCATGTTGATTGAATGACGAGGTGACTGGGAATAAACATACCTGGAGAATATCCTCGTAATTTCTCGCGGCAGCGTATTTCAACTCAGACACATTATGGTTGAAGGAACGAATGGTGTTGCGACCGAATGAAGAAATTTGGCGGAAACTATCAGGGCATCAAAGATTGTGACAACTGTTGAAAACAAGCGTACCGCTGGTCGAATTCATCGATATTTTTGAAAGACTGCAGCATGCGAATAAGGTGGGTGATGAGGGCTTTTGCGACTCCTAGTTCAATTTCGTGTAACAAATCAGGGACAAAAAGGGTAAATAGATTGAAGGGCGTTTTGGGGGTATTGAGCTTGGAGAATGCATTCTAGGATATGTTAGAGTGCGAGCCAGAACTGAGAACACGACTCACACGGACAGGAACCCATGATTTTGCCTTGAGTATGTCGTCAATCTTCGAGCCGCCGACAGCGTTTCCATTGCCAAACACAGCAGCTCGAGCATCTTCGATTTCCACCCGCCGCGGGTGGTCATCGATACGGATGTTTTGACGACGCTTCATGTCGTTGACAGTACCTGTTTCGGCTATCTGCCGTTTTTGGATGAAGCATCGAGGGCAAGGGCAGCCTCCCAGGCTTCTGATAGTAGAGAGAAGAACTCTATCCCATCTGAGTAAGTTTTTAAAAGGACTTGAGATGGAGATTACTTTTCCGGATAATCGGCGCTGTAAGTAAAAAAACGAGGGAAAACTAGTCGGACCACACCATCCCAGCATTTGATTTTGATCCCATTGTCATATGCATCCATGAAGTCGTCGGAGAGAAGCAACTGCCATATAGCATGAATCAGTTCTCGCTTCAGATGAGTGTAGACGTCATCCGCCATATCACATCCGTAGTGAGCTCGATACGAGTCCCGGATGGAGTCCGGTAGCTATTCACAAATGTGAGAACTAGTGCCGCGCTAAAATGCTCCGAGTCAATTTACCTTGGTGAAATATGCTTGATGGAAGCCTGTGTTCGAAGATGGCTTGCAACGCACATCCTTGGAATGATTGCCGAAGAAGGTGTATGCTGGCCAAAGAGACGCAGTGCCAAACTGGGCGAGATGGGTGGCATCGGACCATTCCATGATAGCCATGATAATGCTTTCGACTGGGTCTTCTGGACTCTGAGGAGGTGGCGGTTGAGGTATCGCACGATAGGCCTCAAGCATAGCGGGTGAGGTGTAAACTTCGCCAAAAATCTCCTCGTGTCGTTCTGCAAGCGGTGGCAAGCCATACTCATTGAGTGGGGAAGACAGATCAGCCATTATGATGTCGGCTAAAGCCAATTCCGCTTCAGATATCGCACGCAACGAGAACGGTGTCGTGTGCGTTAGGGCGAAGAGCGGACCTTGAAGAACCTCTTTGATGGGATCAAGGAGAGGGCGATACAAGATATCGCTAACCTCCACAACAGGTGCGTCGTTTTCAGCCTGGCGACGACCCACACATGGAAGCTTAAGCGAAACAGACCCTCTTAACCATTTGTCGGTTATACCAAGAGGAATTATACCGTGCTTGTCTAGATGGTCCAAGAATCGTTGGGTCGAAAACGGGTTTGGTAAGTCCGTCAGCGAAACGCCCGTCGGATTGGGCATCGCTGTTAGGGTGAAGGAAATTACTGATCAGACGATCAAACCCCGCGACTGACTGTGGGTGTTCCTCCTCGATATGATATTTCATCATATGTGCAACCGACGGATTCGGAAAGGGGAAGTACCAGGGCTCTTCAGGTCGGAGGGTGTCTGGATGAGTTTCCGTAGGTTGGGATACCTGATATAGTTGTTGCAGCGTAATAGAGTCGTCAGGATCGTGAGTAGGTCGACGTGGATACACTTTGTAGACGCCAAACTCGTTGGGAGCCGTCTGTACCCACTCTGATACGGGTGTCTGAAGCTCTATTTCTGCTTCGGGGATGGCTGGGGTGATAATAGCAGGCGGTGGTGGGAGACGAGGAGCTCGGGGAGGCGCGATGTCTTGAAATCTGGCAGGTAGGCGAGTAGGACGATCTGGGCGACCGCTTTTGCGAAACTTTGGAGGAGACGGGGGACGAGGTTCATCAACAGCCATCTATGTAGATATGAGTAACGGCGGCAACAGAATAAAGCGGTGTTAACCTGCACATCAGCGACCAACGGAGGGTCTGGTTGTTTGGGTGGTTGAGCTGCCTGCATAGCAAGGTGCTGCTGAATATAGTCGACTGATTCCGCGTGAAGCCTCTTGAACTTGGCACACGTGCGGTCGTGGACCGCCTGCGCGTCTTCACGATTCTTCAGGGCTTTACCACACAGAGCACAGGTGGGTTTTGCCTTGGGCATCAGGCACAGAAATTATAATCCACTAGGACCAGCCTAGAGGGAACGATATTGTAGTTGAAGGATGAGAGGTTGAAGTTGAAGAACACGATGCAAATGATGTAATCAAATGATGTAATCAAATGTTCCCCATCGCCAACCCGTCGCAGTTCAGCGAGTTCCAGGCATATTATCTTGCCAAGCTGCATCAAAAATCTTTTCTGAAGAGTTATCCTCCTCTTACGTTCAACCCGCGTTTCGTATCATCTCAAATTTTTATTGTTTCGGGGTCAACTGCGATTCAAGGACTAATTCAAAACTGGATCACTAGAAAGGTGGATCCGAAGAAGCAATCTCGATTGGATTGTTTGCATATCGGGCAGCATCTTCTGCATCCTCCACGATCTCGTCCACTCCTTCCACCAGCGCTCTGAGGCCACTAACCAAGCTCAAGCCATTCTTCTTCATCGCCTGGATTCGGACGAGCAGTTGCGTGTGTGTACGGTCTTGCGCAGCCTGTGCTCTTTTTGCCTCCAAGCTCTCCCGGAAAAACTTTTCCCGACCATGTATAACGGTTGAGACTCGTTGTCTGAGCTCCTCAATCTTCTTCTCTTGAGCGATGGAGGCCTCCTCGGCTTGGTCCAATCGTGCTTTGTAGTCGTCCGCTTCCTTGCGTAGATCGTCAAGCCGCTCCTGCGCATCTTTGCGTAGTTCAGCCAGTTCAGCATGTAAGCGAGTGTTTTCCAGTTGAGTGTTACGGCGCGAGACCAGCAAAGCTTCGTGATCTGCTCGCAAAGCCCAAAATTTGGGAGCTAGTAAGCTCAAACCAACCACATTTGGCGACTTAGGCTCACCGTAAGCTTCTTTGGGGTCCTCTGGTTGAGAGCTTTTGCAGAGTCAGATGCGCGGTCTACAAGAACAACAAGAATTGGTGAAATACCTACCTTTCGGCGGGTTGGCGAATGTCTTCTCGGCGGGGAAGCCCTGGAAAGGCACCAGGTTCCGAGATATCGCTGCTAGACCCAGATAAGTGCAAAGGCGCCATGGTGGTAGGAAATGAAGTCCAGAGAATTGGCGGCCGTGATAAATGATTCAAATCGAGTCCCCCATGTCCCGATTAGGAAATTTGGCGCGTGACGTCACGTCATGCACGCGACATCGCAGAATTTTCTCTCTCTCATAGACAGAGATGTGTTCGACGACAAATGATACTACGATTGGGTGTCTTTGCACTACAAAATCAACAAATACTACAAACAGCTGACCTATTCATTCATGATACGATTTTTTGACCGGCGCGCTCAAAGCCCTTCGAGATGAGATGGCGGCAACAGATGGATGCTTCATTCAATAATTCTCCTCCTCCCACGATCTCTTCTTGCGCTTGCGCAGCTCATCGAGCTTCCGAACCTGGCGCCTCACTATATTCCTCACCTCCAACTGCCGCTCGCTCAAACCCTCCATCGGAAATTGCTCCATATAGTACCCAAGCTCGTGCGTGCACTGGTCGAATCTATCGGCAAACACAGTGTAGACGCGGTCGCCATCGGAGTCGACATCGGAGTCGACTCGATCGGGAACGCGGGTCGTTGAGATGATCGGAGGGTTCGTCGTTGTCGTCATCGATATCGCCCTCGTTCACTTTCAAGCCCGGCTCTATCTTCCGCTCACTCGGCTCTTGCTTCACCTTGAAGCCCAGCTCGATCTTCACCTCACCCGGCTCTTGCTTCACTTTTGAGCCCAGCTCGATCTTCCCCTCACCTGGCTCTTGCTTCACTTTTAAGCCCGGCTCGACCTTCACATCACTCCGCACTTGGTTCACTTCTGAGGTCTTCGGCTCCTTCGCTGACTGAGCGAGCGCCAACTGTTGCTGCTGAGGCATTCGTTTGAGCGGACTGGGCAGGCGACCCGGTTTATAAAGGGGCAACGCTCGGCGTTCCGCACCAGGGTTTGCGGCGAGGTATGTCTGCTGGGCGGCGGCGGTTACGGTGAAATAAGTATGAGTTAGGTTCTGCCAATGCTTCGTCAGTAAGAACTGTTCGTTTACATATACCATACGCACCGTTCTGCGCCGAGCGTCAATCTGCTTTGTCTCTTCTTCGGTCAGTTCATATATGAGCACGGTACATCCGTAGCTCTCCGCAAGTCGTTTAAGCGCTGCGCGCACATCGGTCGGTATCGTGAACTTGCAAACCAGGGACATAAGGCCTTCTGGAGGAGTGTTTTTCAGATTGACGGTGGCGAGATGATGCTCGAATGCTTCTTTGGCCTAGGGGGCTGGTCAGCGGCTTGAGCGAGCACAGAATAGAAAAGGGCGTACTCTGAGGAACGTGGGATTGGTATCCATGGGGGGCAGGTGGGAGACGAAAGCAAGCAGGCATTGCAGCGTTTTGTTTTATAAAGCAAGCTGGAGTCACGTTCAGTAAAGTTTAATCTTGATTTATATGCCAAGGCTGCGGCAATACAAACGATGCGCTGGCTGCTTTCGACAAAGAAGAGTCGACCAGAACTTGATTAGCCCGCGGAGGCCGAAATGGCGCCAGCAACTTGAAGCCTTTTCTCTCGACTGAGTTGACGAGCGCGACGCGACTGTCTCGGAAGCTGCCTTGAGACGGGTGAGCGACTGTGAGTGATTGGAGGGAACGAGTTGACGCGTTTGACGCGATGATGAGCAAGCGGAGAGAAAGAACTTGGCGCGTTTGACACGGACCATCGGCGCGAGTAACGCCGGTCACAATATTCACACGCTCCTGCTCTCAACGTCGTTCGCCAGACTACTGGCGACTCCCGCCCGTCGTTGGCGGTGACTCGTCCACGGTTCGGAGCCCAGGGGCCAGACGCTGGCTCCCCGTCGCCCTCCGGCCCGACTTAACGACGGCGAGCCCTACATCCGGTCAGACGGGTCCGCCAAGAAGTAACGACTCGACTGGAATTTGACCTCAAGCCGTCTCCAGTTTCACTTTCAGTTTCAAATTCAGCCCATCCGCCGCGCGAATTCCGTCCCCAAACCTCCATTCCATTCCGAGGCCTTTCCTCCTCTCCAACTCCTCTCGCTCTCCCTCCGCTCTCCATAGCTGCGTCTTCCCCCGACAAGACAAGACAAGATTACTGCCCTTTATTGGGTAGTCCCTTCGCTTTCTAGGGGTGCATGCGTCGATCATCGTTCTCCACGCGCACCACGCACGGCTTGGCAGCAAAACGACAAATTCTTGAAGAGAATCAAGACTATGACGTAGTTCCGGGGGATGAATGGGGGCTGGCAAACGTCCTCCGGTTCATAACGACCGATAGCCGGCTTTCTTTCTATCCCCCATCTCCCCCCATCTCCCTCTTTCGTTCGTCCATGCCGCCGCGTCGTCGCCCCCACGCTACTCCGGCCTTTCAGCCTCTGCCGCTTCCGCCGCAGAACTATCTGAAGATTCCTGGGCGACCATCTCATTATACTCAATTTTTCATCGTCCCTCAACATCCTCTTCGTCACGAAATCGCCCCCCACGGAACAACATACGTATTCTACACCGACATACGCCGGCGAAGCTCAAGCCGCCGCTTTTGCTTGGCACAGTAAACTTGAGGTGCCAAAATGCCTGACATGGTGAGAGGCGAGAGCAGCAGGTAAATCGCCAAGGCCCATTTTTGACTATTTTCTCATTATGTTATATCCGTGCCGACTCCGGCATCCGTCTCCGATATCCGTCTCCGGTATTTGGTTTTTACGCAATGAAGATTTACTGAGCGTTTCCAATTACTCCGACTTATGATCTATGCAATCATCTATGCCTTGTTCCTCGTATGCAACTCCTCTTCTACTTTACTTGACTTTGTTCTAATCTTGTTACTTACTTTGTTATACCTTATTCCGTTTCCGTTACTTCTCGTACTATAAATACTTTGATGTATTATCACGTACTTCAGTTTGTAAATTAACGTTGCTGGTCTCTATCTCCCAGCGTCGTCTCGACTCCGCTCTTCCCTTCTTGTCTTGTCTTGGTCAACTGGAAGCCCCGGTCACCCAAACATCCTTCTGTGGTGTTCCGCCCCAAGTGCTCTACGACTTCGATTCCGTTTCCGACTTCGACTCCGTCTCCGTCTCCGTCTCCGTCTCCGTCCCTCTGGTCGACACGGCACTTAACAGTATTTACAAACTCACTTCCTTTTGACCATGTCAAACGTACGCCTCTCTTCTGGCAACATAGACCCCGCCAATACTGGTCAACGGCGTTCATCCCGCTTCTACGAACAAATGGTTCCTCTCACTTCGCCTATGGCGAACTTCACCTACAACGCTGGCGCTCCTGTCACTCCGGTTCCTGTTCCCGTTCCTCGGACACCTACTGGCACGACCAACCCTTTCCGGCCTGGTTTTGTCATGTCTCCGCAGGATCCTGATCCAAGTACTATCCCTATGCCAACGACTCCGCATCCAAACACGGGTCGTTTTTCTAACGTCAGTTCCCCTCCCGTCTCTCCTACCTTACGTTACCGACCCCTCACTCCCCACACGCCTTCACGACATCGAAGAAGAAAGCGAGCCAGTCCCGATGTATCGGCACGCTTTTAGCAGGCCCATGAGCCCTGCTCAAGGTCGCTCCGGAAACGGAAACGATTCCGGTCAAGGTCAACCAAACCGCAACCCCTCTCCGACTTTTAGCGGCAAGCCGAGTCCATTCTTGACTTCGCCCTCTGGCTCCCCTCCTGGCTCTCCCAGAGGCGGACCTCCTGGTGGTGGTGGACCTGGCGGACCTGGTGGTGGTGGACCTGGTGGTCCTGGTGGCGGCCCTGGTGGATCTGGAAATCCATTCTGGGGTCCCCCTAGAGGTGGTGGTGGCGGAGGAGGCGGAGGAGGTGGAGGTGGAGGTGGTGGGCCACCTGGTGGAGGTGGTGATGCCGGAGTCCCTCGAGCTGGCTCTCCGGGCCGTGATCTTCAACGCGCTATGATTGGCGCTCTCCAAAATTTCCAACATTTCCTCACCAACTTTCCTCAGCGCAACAATGCTGCGCCCCGTTCCAATCGGAGTCTTCTC